AGCTCCAATGTGATCCGTAATCATGAATGGACCAACAAATCGCGGTGACAACTTCCCTTTCTTCCCAAAGCGCATAACACCCTTCATAGGAGACACTTTGAGTAGAACCTGATCCCCAACCTGAAACTCCAAAGCCCGAGTACGACGATCAGCATAGCTCTTCTGCCTACTTTGGGCAATATGCATGCGATCTCGAATAAGAGCAATCTTTTCAGAGGTATCCTTGATGAACTCAGGACCTAAGAATCGATTCTCTCCAACCTCCATCCAACAAACAGGTGACCGATACGGTCGACCGTACAATGCCTCAAATGGTGCCATACCAATAGTCTTTTGGAAACTATTGTTATAAGCAAACTCCACAAGTGGCAAATATTCATCCCAGTGGCCCTTGAAATCCAGAACACATGACCGAAGCATATCTTCCATAATCTGATTCACCCTCTCAGTCTGTCCGTCAGTCTGAGGATGATAAGCAGTACTAAGGTGTAACTCCGTACCTAAAGCCTGCTGAAAACTCTTCCAAAATCCAGATACAAAGCTCGAATCCCTGTCCGATATAATAGACAATGGAATGCCATGTAGCTTCACAATCTCTGAAATGTAAAGCCTCGCCAACTGCTCCGAAGTGTAGGGCTCTCTCACTTCTATTTTTTAGGTACACGACAGTTCCAGGCTTAGACGTGTTCGTGCTGAGCAGAGGTCTCTATTCATTCTTCCGACGATGTAGGGCTCTCTCTATAGTTTTATTTCTGGACGTTTATTACATTTGTTCTATCTTCCGTTTGGATGTTTAATAGGGGTCCACTAGAGATGGATTCCCAAGTTGTAAACTAATGGAGTTTTGGAGTTTGGATTTGATAGATTTTAATAATTATAATATTTTGCGGATTCTATTTTTAGTTCCTTCCAGCTTTAATTTCATTTCTTAATTTATTTTGTATTCCGTGTTCATTATAAAATATTAATTGTTTGATATTCCCTCGGGTTTGGGCCTGGGCTTGATCAACCCGTGTTTCGGATTCGAGGCGTATCTCAGTTGGTATCAGAGCCTGACCCAGCCGGAAGTGTGCCGACGAGGACGTCGGGCCTCCAAGGGGGTGGATTGTGATGACCTTGTGAGCGGGTGTGCCGTGGACGGGTGCGAGAGACACTGTCAGGCTACCACACTGGCGAGCTACGGGTGCACGGTCCTACATCTCCTGGGTAGAGGAAAGGTGAAGTACTTATATGTAAGTGTGTTACCTCTAATTGGTATGAGGCCTTTTGGGGTGAAGCCCAAGAGCAAAACCGTGCGGGCTCAGGCCCAAAGCGGACAATATCATACCATGTGGTGGAGTGGGTTGTTACAGTTGCTCACCCCGTTGATTCTTATATTTTTCAGGAAAGGGCATTGCCCAAGAGGAGGTTCCTTATCCCTAACTTGATTGGGATCTTGACAACATTTTTGAGTTACTTGTGATAATTATGACATCCATTGTGTAGCTTACTTTTGGATTTGTATTTTGACGCATGCTGTATTTTGGATATTATATTTGATGACATGTTTGTAATATTCTTTTGGAGGAGGGAAATGACGTAGGAACTCACCCATCTATCTTTTGGAGTTCTTATGGAATTTCCTCTCTTATCTTTACTCATGTTATCCCTTAACATTATTTCTCACCTTATGGATTGTAATGAGGCCATGGTGGCCATGACTTATATAGTGGGATTGAACAATTATTGTTTAAGTTGTGTACATGCGGGTTCATTTGGATAGTCTAATATAAATGGTTAATTAATCATTCTATTATTTATTTTATGAAACTATTATTATTATTATTTATGTGGTGGATGACACCGGTTTTCTCCAATTAATTATTTACTTACTCAAGTGAATATAATTATTTATTTATTGACTTAATTATCTATTATTATATATATATATATATATATATATTATTATTATTATTATTTTTCTTCGCGACCCGAGTCGTGGAATTCGGGGCGTGACAATATATAATCGGGCCGTCGTCAGGGTGGATTCTTCACTAAATCCACCTCCGCCCCAAACATGATTCAGGTTTTCAATTATTTTACAATACCCATCCCAAACTCATTTAGGAGTTACCAAATCCACCACATTATGAACGGGCCGGGGCAAAAATCCACCAAGTCGGAGGAAATTGCCATTCTTACCTAAAATCAATGGCGTTGTCCTTAAAAATGACAAATATACCTTCGCTTAGAGCATTCGCACCGTATTAGCCAAAGGCCTTCTCGCAATTGAAAAGCCCAAACACGTCCACAGCGGCCTAGCGCTAATTGGGCAGGTCCACATTTGCTCGTGGGCTAGCTTATGGAATACCGTGAGCTCAAGCCCAGCCAGGACTTTATTTTATTTTATTTTTGCCAAAACGCCATCGTTTTGTAAAGTTTAGGCTACAACAATCAAGAACAGTACCTTAAGGAACTGTTGGTAGCATGATTTTTAAAAATAAAATAAAATAAAATAAAATTTATTAAATAAAAAATATATTGTTGAGACATTATTTGTAAAAAAAAAAAAATTGATTTGGGCCAAAAATAAATTTAAAAACCTTTTTTTTCCCCCTAAATTTGATTTTTTTTTTGATTTTTATTTTAAATTAATCATATATTTTTTAATCCATATGATGAGTGTTCATTGTATAAGATGAAAAATATAGCCTTTAGAAAAAAAATTTAAAAAATATTTTGAGATTTTTTTTGGAAAACGAAAATTCGAAGAGCCTGATGGAGTGTCTATTTTTGGAGAGCGAAACTGCTGACGTGACTCTTAGAAAAGAAATGATATTTTTAAAGAGCCTAAATTCGAAGAGGCTGGTGTAAGACATGGATAAAATATTGTGTAGATTGTTGGGAGTTTGACACCCACCACAAAATATATATATATATATATATATATATATATTTTGAATGGTTCCCACCGCAAAATATTACCTTAACATAATGTGCCCGTTCATAATATCTATCTTTGCTCCTTCAAAATTTATATGAGTGTTTGGAAACTTGGCCAATTACGTTATTAGTACCTTAGGATTTGTTTGGTACAACGGAAAAAAGAAAAAGAAAAAATGATAACATTAGTTACGAGGAAAAAAAAATGAAATGATAATTTTAACTTCTTATTGTGTTAGGTTGATTGATGAAAGAAAATAAAGAAAAAGGATAATAATTATATTTGGGAAAAAAAATGAAATGAAACTATTTTAATGAATTTATTATTATACCTTTTTATATTTTAAAAAACAAATTTGTAGATTGTGTAATTCTAAAATAAATAAAAAATTTAATAACAACTTTATTGTTCTTTTGAATTCATATTTATACCTTTAACTTGTATGTTAGGTAGGCAAAAAAATCTCTCTCTTGATATCATATTTCAATACATATAGGTCAAATTAAATGTTACCTATAAAAGATAAATCAAGCAAACATATATATTTTTTAATGAAGCACTGTCCAAGTTAAATGTTCCATAACATGAAAGTTCGTGACAAAATCATTTTGTGAGATATTTATTTTTTGTGAAGTATTTATAAGCAACGCAACACACGGGAAAATCATATATCATTTCTGTCTCAAAATACTGTGCGTCAACTTTCACAAAATGCAGTCGGCGCCATCAGGAATTTTTCGTCTTTTGACAATTTTGTGCATTTCCGGAGAAAAATCAAACCACCAAATATGTACATGATAGAGCATTTGAAGTTCATCATCCTTAATAACTAAACTATTGCAATAGCCACTTCTTCAGTACTTCCATCTCTTCTCAATTTTCTCGCAGGTAACCTTTAAATCATGCAAAGGCTGTTATAATTGGAATTTTCTCCAAAACAAAACTTAATCATTTTTGCCTTAATTCAACTTCTTTTTGTTTATCAAAAGTACACCTTATCCTCTCCTGTTTCCTCACCAAAACTATCCAACAGAAAATCATCATCATCATCCCTCTCATCAACATCATCACCACCCCGAAATTGGTGAACCTCATCATCATCACTTGAAGCATTCCTGCTTCTAATTAGGAAGAAGCAACAACTACACAAAAATATTCACCTGCTAAAACATGCCAAAGAACAAGTGTAATTTTAATTTTGTCTTAACGGAAAATTTGATATTAAAAATATTACGTTTGCCTTTTCTTTATATTTCTTTTCATTTTCTTCCATTTTTTAAAAAGATAACAAAGTTACTATTTAAATCTTTGGTCTATTCTTTCAAAACCATCTATTTTCTTTCCTTTCCTTTATACGGTTTATACCCAACACACATTTTTAATCATCATCCTCCATTACGTACTTTTCTTTTCTTTCCATTTCCATTAGTCCAAACTGGGCCTTAGGAAAGAATTTGAGAGGACAAAAGATTATAAAACAAATTTTTCTAAAAAAATTACCGTTCAAACAAATGGGATATAATAAATATATTTTAAAAAAAAAAAATACATTCTATTCCAACAAAAGGGAATTATTTACACATATTTGAATAATCTATTATAAGAACTTTTTGGTAATAAATCATGAGATGATCACTGAATTATATTTTAAAATTTAAATTTAATTATTATTCAATTTTTTTAAAATTTCATGATCACTTTAGAACAATTTTATTTAAATTTGTCATTAAGATCAAAATTTTCTTGAATTTAATAATTATTTTCAAGAGATAATTACCGCATACTCCTCCTATTTTAATAACTATTGCGGCTATGCCGACAGCACAAAATTTGAGCAGCTGTTGAAGTGGCAAGCAAAGCATGAAACGGATACCTAGGATAACTCCATTCGCATTTAAGGCTCGTGTACCCGGGACTCCCATGTGATAGGTAAATGTCAAGCACGCAGGCTACAAGCGCGTGCTTGTAGAATTCAATCATCACTGTTCTTGTGAGAATTCAAAACTAAAGTGGCAGTAGTGTAATACCGTTGAACAATATGGGCGTTTCAGTGTAACAATCTTATATAAAAACCGAGAAATCTACTTTTACTTCCCCTCTGTCGCGTCTTCCGGATTTCGCAGCCGAGGAGATCGAGGTACTTACTTTCTCTCTCTACTCTTGAATCCCCAAATATAGGGTTCTTAGGAGACGAATAATTTGGCTGATCCGTTGGATTAAAGTTGTTTATCCATGTTTAAATGCTCAGTTTATCTGTTATTAAGATGTCAACTGTGCTTCTCTGCATATTTTATTTTGTGACAGCGCACACAATTTTCACATGCACTTGTTTGATAACCCTGCATGAGTTAGCTGAAGTTGTTGAATAGTGTATACAATACTGGATCTGGAGTAATGGTAGTGAATTTTGAGTCTTGCTACTGTTGAAATTGGATGAATGTTGGATATTTCTGTTACCTTTTTAACCTATTGTGTTGACTTCTAGTTGTTTCCCCTTTAATTTTTGTTGATAAATAAGTTGGTTCCGGTTTATGCTCGCTTCTTGTGAAGGAAAATAGTTCCGAGAAAATTTTCTGGAAGAAAGTTTCTTTTTAGTGAATTTTTGTTTTCACAAAATCTTATTGGAAAATCACTCTGCTGAGTTTTATACTGTTTAATGTTTCCTTAGGTCAAGTGATCTCATTCCCAAGCTCAGGAAGATTAATTTCACTTTGTTTCTTTTTCTATAAAGTAAATTTCTCTAATGAAATATTCTTTTCTGCAGTTTCAGTATTCCACAGTGCTTGCAATAAATTATGTTTGTATAACCTTGTTTTGCAATTTGTGCTTTCTGGAATGACATTTGTTCTTGAATCTGCGTCAGTTACTTGGTTTATGTCTGACTGCCAATTTGTCAATTATACTCCTCTCATCAACATGCAACTTTGATATGCACTGGGTCACTGACGTAATATATATATATATATATATATAATACTGTTTTTCATGGGGAATTTACTTACTGTATATTCTCTTACTTATATTTTTGTTTTTTTTTTTTTTTTTTTTTTTTTCCTGTGAACGTCTTACAAGAATTCCTCATTTATGTTAATGCATTAGATTTTGCAAGTATGGAGAGTATGCAAACCTTTTGGCAATTGGGTGATGAACTTCGAGGACAATCAAAAGTCTCAGAGGATCACAAGTGGTTAATGGTTGCTTCCAAGTTGGCTGAGCAGACCAGTTCAAAGGGGGAGCGAAGGAATAATCTTGATCTCTCAAAGGGCTCAGCTGAAATAAGGCCAAGGGATAATGTTGGGTTTCAGGAGGATAACAAATTTGAAAGCCTCAACTTCAACATGTTAAATTTGGGGGCTAAAATGACTGAAAATGCAAACAAAAGCTCCTTCAGAAATGGCATCTACAATATGAATACAGTATATCAGAAGGGCAGTAGTAACAATATGGGAAATATGATCGGTAGCAAGTATAGTGGCAACAACCATAACAGAGAGCCCAACAACAGCAGCAATAATACCACCAATGAGAACACTAATACAAACGGAGCAGTTGACAAAAGGTTCAAGACCTTACCCACAGCAGAGACACTTCCACGGAATGAGGCACTTGGTGGATACATCTTTGTTTGTAACAATGATACAATGCAGGAAGATTTGAAGCGGCAACTATTTGGTAATTATGTTTGCATCATTTATTAACCTTGAAGAAAGTCAGGAAATAGGTTCGGAAAAGTTAATACCTGGTTTGTCACATATATATTTAACAAACCAGTCAATTTAGTGGTGCATTTAGAGTTTTATTGCTTTTGTTGGAATTTTGGATGGATATTAAGAACAAAACAACTGTTGAACTGTTTAAGAAGTTGAGTTAGATTTAATGCATTTGTTGGAACTTGGAACATCTAGTTGTCTCAGTTGTTGTTAGAATTGTGATTGCACCTATTTTTGAAGCATGCTACATAGTTTTGGGAAAAAACCGATATATTTTGATGATAATTAGACATTTCTCCTTTTCATATATTTGCAGTTACAAGTAGATGATCAGTGTGAATTCTCATTTTGTAGGCTTGCCACCAAGATATAGAGACTCTGTCCGGGCAATAACACCAGGCTTACCACTGTTTCTCTATAACTATACTACTCACCAGTTGCATGGCATTTTTGAGGTTTGTGGTTAACATTCAATGTGTTTTTTCTGGTTACAACATAGTTCTTCTCTTTGAGTTTCATTAAATTAGGGTGTATGTGAAATGTTACTGTTTTACGTATATTCCTATTTTGAGCACCGGTTTAAAGAGGCAACCATTTAAAAGGGTACCTTGGTAAGCAAATCCTATAATGATTTTCTTTGTTTCAAATGGAGATGATATTAATCATTATCTTTAGCGGCACTGTTCCAAAATTAGCTAATCAATGTAAATCTAGGAATAGATTCCCGGACTGTTCTACATATATGTTTATATAAGTGATTTTTTTCGAGAAATGCCTTTTTCTTTTGAGCAACTAAGATGTAATATACTTCTATTATAAGTTCTGTGATTTTCTAATATATATTGGTTAGTTATTTACTAATATTTTGGAACACAATTTTTTATTTTTTTATTATTATAAACAGGCAACAACTTTTGGGGGTTCTAACATTGATCCAACTGCTTGGGAAGATAAGAAATGCAAGGGTGAATCAAGGTTCCCTGCACAGGTAAACATGTTCAAAAATTGAATACTCTTTCTTCAAGGATTTGGGGGAGATTCCCATTTTATAGCCTTCTGACCTTTTCATTTTCCTTTTCAGGTAAGGATACGTGTTAGGAAAATCTGCAAGGCCTTGGAGGAAGATACTTTTAGGCCAGTCTTGCACCACTATGATGGTCCCAAGTTTCGTCTTGAGCTCTCAGTCCCAGAGGTATGATGAAAGTTACTATTCTTCAATATTTTAGAGTTTGTGTACTAATTTGCATCTTTATCAATCTGGCTGTTATGTTGATACTGATCGTCACAAATTCTGGTTCATACTGCAGACTTTGGACTTGTTGGACCTGTGTGAACAAGCAGGTGCTTAATTGTTTGGTCACCAAACATAATGGACTCTCCAGCATAAGCAAATGCTGGTGATAAATGTGCATGATGTAGGTTTTGTGGTGCATTTAAGTTTGTGTGATTTTGGCTACTTAATCCTTAGAGCGCAAGCTTGGGAGTTAAAATCTGGTTTGGTGATGTTTCGGAGTGAAGGAAAAGGTTTGTGGCCTGCCAAATAATTATAATAGTGTCTTGTGAAGATCTATCTGGAGTAGCTGCAAAATGTCTCATGTCATTTTAACTTTGTGATCAAGAAGAATGGCGACTGTATAATGTTAAGTCCTCGGAAGATGACGACCCTAATGTATTCCTATTTTCTGCAATTTGAACTGAGTTTCGTCTCCTCTCTCTCTCTCACATGTGATCATAATAATTTGAATTCTGAACATGCACCTGTGTAGAGTTTGGGTCTGGAATTTGAGTCTTGTGGGTTGTTGTACCGGTGCTGCTTTTCATTCCACAATAGGGTTGGGTGGGGTGGGATTTTGCGATTTTAGTAGTTATTGGGATGCTGTGTTACCTTGGAGTGATGCTCAAGTTTATGCTTGCACTAATTTTTTTATTTTTTTCTTTTGCCTTGAAAAATAACCGAGTGTGAACCTTTCGCTACAGCTAGTCACATTACCTTGGCGAGGCACGATATGTCTTATTTTGGTATGTAGCCCTTGCTCAGCAAAGTAATATCCTCTAAACCGATCCACAGCCTGGCCTGGGGTCGATGAGTTTCACCCTTTATATTCTTTCCAAAAGCGACTCATTCCCACAGCATCTTACGTACTCCGCCGCACGGTCTAGGTTAATTTGTTGCTAGTACAATACTACAAAGAGTATATTAGGGTTTATTTAGTTTGTAAATTTGAAAATAGTTTTATGTTTAAATTGAAAATTAAATACTGTGCACAAATTTTGCTTGGTGGTTTAATTTTTGAAAAATTAGTTATAAAATTATCTATTTTTAAAAATAATTTTTTATAATTTTTCTAAAATAATTTTTTATTTATTAAGTTTTTGTGAATTGTTTTATGAGCTAAAAGCCATTCATGCCATTAATTTTTTTCTAGAACAGTTAATTATTCCTGTACCAATTATTGGTAGGTTAAGAGAGATTTTGTATTGATAAATTATAATAAAAGACTTCAGTGTAAATGTTTGATAATGTGAAAAAAAAAAAAATGTTTGATAATAAAAAAGGTCTGTAGTATGGTTTGCTCATTTATGTTTTATTTTTTAAGTGTATATTTTGTACAGTTTTTTATTTTTCTATAATTCAAATTTTGAAAATAATTTACTTAATCTTTTTTGAAAATTTAGTTAAAAAATATATATTTTAAAAATATAATTTCTTATAATTCTTTAAAAATAAAAAAATAAAATTTTATTTTAAAAATTTTAAAAAATTATTTTTTGAATGATAAACCGATCAAATAATTATTAACTAATACAGTAACTCGGTTCTCACTTATCTGGCCCTTTTTGCCCCAACTTTTATATGAAACAATAGTTTCACAAAAGTCAACAGAAAATGAAGTGGCGGCAAATCGTTACCATGAGTACGGCTGTGGACAAAAAACTACACACGCACCAAACAAACGACACTATCGTGCGTGAACTACAACAACAAAGTGAAGCAAGAGAAGTGTTTCAGACCCTAACGTACACTTTCTCTCTCTGCTTCTATGGCCTCTGTTCTTCCTTCTTCACTTAGCTTTTATTGGAAACCATCCACTCTTTTCTTTAATTTGAATTCTGCCAACAAATCGAGTTTACGTTTGCCTCCAATTGGATTTGGTTCGATCAAGAAGAAGAATCGAAAAATTAGAGTTTCTCTCAGCGGAGCTACCTCTGTCGTCTTTCGCGATCTCGATGCCGATGATTTTAGACATCCTCTTGATAAACAGGTGATTGATTTAATTGATATATAACTGATCGACTCGGTTTTTCCCTTTTTTTTTTTTTTGTTGCCATAGTTTACTAATTTTGTAGACTTAATTTTTTTTTAATTAATTTGGTTTTCATTTTCATTTTTATAGAATACGCTTATTCTGAGGGCAATTCCAGGATTAAACGAGCTTGGAAAGGCTTTACTAGGTAACAGAGATGCAAGATATCTTAATTAATTGTTAATTGCATTATAGCTATGGTAGATGCTAGGTACTGAAGTTCCTGTGTTTAACAAAACTAAAAAAAATTTATTCTTCACTAACCTTTTAGGTTGTTGTGACATATTGAGTTTTTAAGTGCTTCATTTCATACCTCAATAATATGATCTGAGGGTTTTCTTTGATCATTCTGGTGGTTTGCTATTTGTAACGGTTGAATTAATTAGTTTGCCAGTTTCTAGTTTATGGACCAAAGTTAATTATTTTCCAATTTTGATTGATCTTTCAACCGTATGGCACTTTATTTTGTTGATCAAATTAACTAATTTCGTATTCGAATTGATCTGTAAATATAGAGATGCATGGATTTCTTCTGAAGAAATATTGTTTTCTGGTTATTTAGTTTTAGTCACAATATTGTGTTAGTTTGAACCTTGGATGTAGATGTTCTAAGAGGAATATAATACACAAACAGAGACACATTAATTTATTCTTAAGAAACAGTGTCTCCTGATTATTTAGTTTTAATCACGTGTCATTTTAAGCCTTGGATGCTAGACACTGAAATATAGATGGTTGATTTGGATTGTCATAAAGCTGGGGACGCTTTTGACAGGAAAAAAAAAAAATATTCGAATTTGGGGATTACATGCTTGTGTTATACTGAATAAAACATATGCACAGCTGTACATCTAAAAAAAATCCATCGTCAGTGTATTTTATGAGTTTTACCAGTTATCAGCATTTTTATACTTTATATGGCTTTGCTTATATGTACTTTTTATATAGTAATAATAACGCAAGAGGTGTAGGCAGTCTTTTGTCCTTATGAGTCTAGCCATGAGCTGAAGGTATAAATAGCTTAAATTATAAAGAAATGAAAAAGAGAAAAAGGAATCTTATATGTGATCTTACTTGCTCATATTTCATGCATAAGTTCTAGGTAGTCCTAAAATCTTGGGTATGAGCCTTGTTGATGCAGCAGCGGGTAGGGGCGGTTCGAAAACAAAATTCAAGTAAATAAGAACAAGGATGAGAAAGAGATTGAGAAACAAGTAGAATAAGAATAATGGGGGGAGAAATCAGAAAAATTGAGGTAGAAGAAACACAATAATTTCTGAATAATAATCAATAATCAATCATCAAAAGCTGTCTTTCACAATGTCTTAACCAACCTTATATAGGGATCGAAGAAAAACCCTAATCAAACTATTACCATAAATAGAAATCCTAAAATCAAATAATAATAATAATAAAAGTCAAAATCCCTAATTCTATCTTTCTTTCCCACGTCTCCAATAATATGCATGGGCCGTATGGACTTCAAGCTCTCGGGCCAGGCCCGGTTCTTCATTATTCCCTCCCGGTTGAGAACTCTCCGGAGGAGAGTAAATGCATAAGTATATCTCCAAAAAGTATGGGTCAATACTCCATTTGGTATTTAAAACTGGAAAATCCTTCCATCGAACAAGGTAATACTCAATATCTCCAAGATGAGGGCCATCACTCTGATAATCAACAATATCCTTTGTCTAATCCATATAATGCGGCTAAAAAGATAGATGAACTAATACCGCTGTTGAGGAAAATGTAAATCCACCTGTAGGAACACATGCCAATAAAATAGGAGGCTCAAAGGTACCTCGGTCAGATAACAAATACTCCACATCAAAAAATTGAATTAGTACTCAGATCCAATGACCAGTCAAAGAAGTATGCATTAGGTCCTGATTTTTGAATGACGTGGAAAATTCCAACAATTTTTGCATGTTTTATTTGGAAGGAGTTTTTAGGATAAGGGTGAGGTAGTGCACATATTATAGCACAATCTCCAATTAATTAATTATTCCAATGATGAGAATATGCAATGAGTTCATAATTCTTTTTGCTCAAGACAATTTCTTGTCGCATATCGGCGTAAAAATCATGAACAAGCTGAACGAAGGAATTAACAAAATCAAGTGAATACATATGGAGGTGGATGACAATAATCAGTGGACTGGCATGGTAAAGAACTGTAGATAATCTCCAAAAACAACTACCAGTACTTTGATTAGTCACACATGTATAAACATAATCCATGATAGGTAAAAACAAGTTCCAACTGTCTAGGTGCATGCTAATAATAAAACTAACCATCTTTCCTAGACCTTGATTCACAACCTCAATTTTTCTATCATTCAACGGACAAGATGCAAAAGGAAACTTCAAATTTGTTCCTTAGAATGTCCAAAGTGTCTTCCAGAAATTAATATTGCACTTGACATCCTTGTTTGACACAATGGAGGTGGATGACTCATGAAATTTAATCATCTCTTCAAGACAATCTTGAGTGAACTCATTTTGTGCAAATTCATCATTTGCTCCATTCAGTTCAACATTTTCCCTAGAATGTGTATGGTTAGGTGGGACATCAAATGAATATGATTCTAGGGCGAAGGCAATGGTGTGTTGCTCCCCACTCATGTTTGACAATTTAGTTTGATGCTCCTCAAATGTTAAATCCTTAATTTCATCCAATTTAGTGCATTTGGGTGGTGGCGAATCCTACACCTCAGATGTGACAATGGGAGCTACCTTAACTATGGATTTTTCTTCTTTTGCCAACACAATAGACTCTTTTTCAGACACATCTTGACCAATAGAAGTGACCACTTCAGCAAAATCAATGGACAAAAGGGCCATGGATGGTAGAGCTTTTGAAAGACAAGACTTAATAATTGTGGCACAATTGTTCAAAACTTTTTCTCTAACTTGTAAGATTGAAGTGAAATAGTCTGATTTCCCCTCTTAACATTAGTTAGAAGAGGACGAAGTAACTCTACTGAGATATGGTCGCTTTCTTCCAGGACAAGAGTCTTAATTTTCCCCATGGATGAAAAGACACTATCGGAGTGATAATAACCTGTTTCCCTTAAAAAGTGTTCAAACATCTCAATAATTAATTCATTACAATCCAAATCAAGCATAACCAAACATGACTTGACATTTGCAAATGTGTGGAGAATTTTGACCCTTTTACCATAAGACTAGATATATCAGATAAATTTTCAAAAGATGATACAATCATCTGAAATACTTCTACCATTTGATCCTCATTGTAGGGAAAATCTGGTGGTGTAATCCTTCTTAACTCACTAAGGCATGAGGCTACTGCAACTTTAACATCACAACCTGAATGCTTTAAAAATTCTTTAGCAATTAAAGCCTTAATTATTGGAAAGAGTGCAGCTTGCATTGAAGCACATGTGTCCTGGTTTACTTTGCAAAACAAGTGATCAGTTTTGTTAAGCAACCAAAAGAGCTCACTGATTGAGGATGAAGGTTGAAAAAGCCTATTTCCAATTTTCAAAAGTTGTTGTTCCAAATTTATTTTCAATGTTGTTTTTGTTTCCCTTTCATTTTCACACCAGTTAATTCTATTTTTTGTGATGGGAAGCTTGGTTTGGACTCAACAATTTTAACCTTGCTTTGCTTAAAACAAAGCCATTGGGGACATAAAGGGATGTTCTCCTTTGACATCGTTAAGAAGATAGTTTAAGGAAGGTTGTTGCTGGTCATGGTACATAGAACGGTTGAGGACAATGCCGATATGGAAGTCAAATTGAATTAAGTAAACTAAATTATTAACTGACACAATGCACAACTAAGAAAATCAGAATGCAATTAAATCAATTATGCTAGAAGTCATGCACTATTGTGAGTATTTAAAATAGTGAATAAAAATATATATATATATTTTTGGATAATAGTGGGAACAAAATAAAATAAAAATTGAAGTAAATAATCTATTGGAAGAATAAAATCAAATGGGTTCAATTAGGACCTTTTTGCAATTTCTAAATTAATGAATTGGATAAAAGTACTAATAACAATTTTAATTGAAGTATGTGTACCTTTTCCTAAGTCCTCTGTAGCTCCCAATTGAATGCTCCCAAGTGTTGAAGATTACCCAAAAGTGGCTGAAGAACCGTAATAGAAATTCTGTTTCTGTTTCCTTTCTGTTTTTTTTTTTTGAACTGGCCAACTGTAGAACTGGTTCAAACCCGGACTGGTTTCAGAACTTAACTTGAATAGTTTTGAATCTGTAACCAAACAGGGCTGAGCTGAAATATATATCTGGGCTCTGACCTAGTATTGAACTTGGGCTGAGTTTTTTCCTTTTTTTTTTTTAATACTGGATCACTATTGGGCTGGCCTGTTCTGAAGCTGGGCTGATTTTGATCTGGCGAGGTGCATACAGTAGTTATTTGAAGCTGGGCCACCTTGAGTTGGGCCAGATGGATCTGGATCACTGCTTCCTGGGCTGATTAGATCTGGACTTTAATTTAAATTTGAATTTGGTCAAATCTGATATAAAAGGAAAACATAATATATCATTTCCAAGCCAATTCTGATTTCCCAAGTCTGATATTTCAAAAGCAATAATCCAAAGCTGACTTTCCAAAATCGTGAAGATGACGCTGAATTAAATTCGACTTCCCAAAATCAAATACTGAATTCTCGGCTGAAGTTGTGACTGGTAGCTATGATAATAAAAGAAACTCTGGTGAGACTGTTTGGCGACGGGCTGGCTGATGGCAAGAGAGGTAACGATAGTGACGAGAAAACTCCGGAAAGATTAACTGTGATGGTTTTCACTAGAGTGGGTGAAGAACACGATGAACAGCGGCTGGGTTTAGGGTAGACGGATGGATGGATTGTGGTGGGGTTTTGGTGGCAGCAGATAGAGGTATTTTGGGTGGATGACAGAAGACGATGAACAGACCGTGGATGTAATGTGTGTGTGAACAGTAGGGTTAACAATGATTATTGCTGATTTTTATTTATTTTTTATTTTTTTTGATGATGATGGCTGAGCTTTGAATCTTTTGCTCTGATACCAATTGATGCAGCAGTGGGTAGGGGCGATTCGAAAACAGAATTCAAGTAAATAAGAAAAAGGATAAGAAAGAGATTGAGAGAGAATTAGAATAAGAATAAGGGATAATTCCAAAAAAATGGTGTCTTGGAGGTCAAAGGACAAAAAGATGGAATCAAGCTTAAGTTTTCCAAATTAATGGAATTTTGTCAAATACTGACATGGACATGAAAATTTACTGTAAATTATTTCTTGATTCCCAAATTGCCCATCATATGTTATTGCGAAATGACCCAACTACCCATTAAATTTTTTTTTTTTTTTGTCTTTTTCGGACGGTTCAAACAAGGGGTAGAAAAAAAATGTTTCATCTCCACTGATCTGCAACTCCATTGGATTTGTGAAGTCCAGAAAAGTTAAGAGAGACGTTTGATGTAAGTCCATTAATTGCTTTTTCCGATGAGTTGGCCGTATTTGTTCTCTCCATGTGCTCTTTTATTTTCTCTCTCTAGAACGCAGAAAACAAACTTATATCTGATCTTTCTGGGTTTTGTTTGAGGTGTAGTACGTGTTGTGCTTATGGAGAGAAAACAAGGTTCTTTTCGGCACTGAAAGGAGGAGTTCATGAGAGGTTTATTGCCGGGGAGATCCAGGGGGTAACGAGTGGGGCGCAACTGGAGGTATTGATTTTGAGATTGGGGAGGTTGAAGCCGGTGGCGGCTTTGTCACCGTTGATGGAAGTTAATCAGTCCAACCCAATCATAATAAATTACAGATTAATTAATCAAATATACTTATATAATGTATAGTCTGCTTGTGTCTTAAAAAGAAACACTACCAAACTAGCAGTTATAGTCTGTATGATAGAGTGTGTTTCAGAGAGAGAAAGCTAGAGTGAGAGAGAGTGTGTGTGTTTTTTTTGGGTAAATCAAAAATTTAATAACCAAAACGAAACTGTACAAAGAGGCTGGCCGAAAGCAAGCCATAGTCACAAACGGCAAGTCAATTGTAGAGCCTAAAGCCACAACCACTAAAACTTCATAGAATCAGATCCAGCAACAGAACACACAGAACTAGCCTTCATTGATGCTTCCTTGCCACCGACCTCCCTCATGCTCGAAACCGTTTGGGTCATGATGCGTGGTTATGGGTGTTTGTCGCTTTTAGATTTCGGTCTCAATTGAAGCTGTTGGGTTGCTGGTGGAGGTTGAAGCCGGTGGCGACTTTGTCGCCGTTGATGGAAGGACCCGATCAATTGAATAGGATAGTAAGGTCATTTTGCAACAAGGGCAGTTTGGGAATCAAAATATAATCTACAGTAAATTTTCATGTCCAAGTCAGCATTTGATAAAACTCCATTAATTTAGAAAATTTAAATTTGACTCCATCTTTTTGTCCTCTGACCTTCAAAACACCATTTTTTTAGAATTATCCCGAAGAATAATGGGGGGAAGAAATCAGAATGACAGAGAAGAGAAGAATAGGGAGAAATCAGAATCGAGGGAGAAGAAACAAAATAATTTCTGAATAACAATCAATAATCAATCATCAAAAGCTGTCTTTCACAATGTCTTAACCAACCTTATATAGGGATCGAAGAAAAACCCTAATCAAACTATTACCATAAATATAAATCTTAAAATCAAATAATAATAGGGTTAAATGCTCTGAAACCCCTGAGGTTTCAGTTTATTTCTCTCATATTAAACCTCAGCCAATTTTGCTCTCACACCCCCTTTTTAAAGTATGAAAAATGTGAGTTTGCTATTATACCCTTAGCTTTATTTAAGCATAAAAAATATATTGCTAACAAAATGTGAAATGACAATATTACCACCTCTACCGTCCTCCTATTCCTTCAATTTTCCCAGTACTCTCTCTCTAGAATTTCACTCATTCTCTCTCTAAAATGGCTCCCAAGGCTGAGAAGAAGATAGCGGCGGAGTTGGCGTTGAGCAGCGATGCTAAGCTAGATTTTGTCAACAACGATGAGTAAGGTGGGGCTCGGTTGTTGACGGCGAGGAGTTTAGAACCTACCGGTGACAAATGATAGAGATAAATCTTGAACAAAACAGTGGATGTGCGACCTTTACCGATCTACTATCTTTGGCGCACTCCTTCGTAGCCCAGCGGACTGCCCATGTTAATGGATTGTTTCAGCTTTCTGGAAATGACATTGGGAATTGCTTCAGTATAGTCGTCATTTTCCATGAAATGTTTTCTTCAATTTCACTTCAATGAGAATCAATCAACAAAGAATGCTGTGCGAATGGCAGAACGAGTTCGAAGGAATCACCTTGGTTAAGTGGCTATCTAAAAAGCAGAATCTTTTAAAAACGAAGAGCTAAGAATTTTATATTACACATCGGTTCTTGATTTAGCAATTTTCTCTCTGTCTCAGGTCCATTAGTCAAGTGATTATCCAATCATCTAAGAGCAGGTGAGGCTGTTGCTCCGAGAAAGTAAGGAAGCGGGTTCATAGGATTCTATGGCATTCCTTGACTATCGATTAGTGGACATGATTTGTTCTGTCGTTCCGGCGTATTATAAAAGGTAAGTGTCTGTTCTTCGGCAGAGAAGGGTGCGTAGGGACTAGAAAACACCAAGCCAAGGTGCCGAGGTAGACCTATGTTAATATCAAGGAGGGGAGCAAAATATCCCCATGGTCGTGATCTCCTCTTCCATCCATTTCCTCTCTCCATTCCTTCTCTTTGAGCAAACCATCAAAAGATTAGAGAGAGAGAGTATGAAAAAAATGAAATCTTTTAATTCATTTGTTTACTGTCAATTCATATTCCAATCAATTTTTGGAAAAAAAAAAAAATTTATATTCCAATGGATTGGTCTGCCCTGTGACAGTGGTGGTGAAGACGGTGGCTGCGTTGAAGAACCAAAATCACTAATTTTCTGTCCAATTTAGTAATCGAAGGGGGTGAAACAAAAACGAACCCTGAAATTATACTCACAAACAGCCCAAATCAAGAAAATTTTCTCAAACCCTTGTTATGAACAGAACAAAAAAAAAATTTGATAAATTTTTTGGGGCAGAAAGATGACGACGTGGCCTTTGCGAATCTCAATGGCGGAGGGAGATGGAGCGATGGAATCAACCGTGGTCCAGATGTTAGAGAAGAAAAGGTGGCTGGCCGGTGGGGGTGTTGCCGTGGTGGGGACGCAAGGAGATGAATGTGATGACGTCGAGGGAGTGATTCGAAGGTAAAGTTATGGGCTGGTGTTTGATTTGCAGAACCCACTTCTTAGATCAATTGTAGCCATTGAATTACAATGTGTGTGTATATGTACATATATACATATATGTATATATAAAGGGAGTTGGGAGTCTGAGAAGATAGCAAATGGAGACGAGGATGAAAGGAGATAAATGGAGAATGGCGGTGGTATTTTTGGTAAAAAAAAATGGTCAGCAACCAAGCAGACACGTGAGTGAATTGAAATAATATGTGAGGGTATAAATGTCTAACAAATTAAGGGTAAAAATGTACATGAAACAATGAAGGGTAATTTAGGTATTATATTTTATCAATTTGAAAAAAGGGGGGTCACAGCAAGATAAACCAAACTTGAAGGGAGTGTGATAGCAAAAATGGCTGAGGTTTAATATTAGAGCAATAAGTCCAAACCTGAGGGGGTGTGAGAGCATTTAACCCATAATAATAATAATAAAAGTCAAAATCCCTAATTCTATCTTTCCTTCCTACGTCTCTAATAATAGGCATGGGCCGTATGGACTTCAAGCTCATCACTTATTCTTGTGTTGATCAAGACTCAGAATTGTTGTTGTTATTTTTTTTCCCTCTCTCTATCTTGGCTTCATTTTGAGGTGAGTTTTGAGCTGCGAGCCTCAGAGGTCACTCAAATTGGAATGTTCTTCAGGCCCGAAGACTCTGAGCAGTTCGCATTGTGTAATTTTGTCTCTGCGCACACTTGTAAATATGAATTCATAAGGTTTAAGTCAAGATGCTGGCAAGTGGTATGCTAGCTTGTGTTCCTCTTATTTCAGTGGAAATATTTAATTGTGGCTGTGAATTTTGTTATACTTCGATTTTGGATTGGTTTTTCAATTAAATAGTTTATTTGAACTTCTCATTGCAGGAACACTTGGAGAGCAAGTCATGCTTCTCGAGAATATAGGGACATCAGTTCTTGTTTCTAAAAATCAGGTAATGTGGCACTCAGTAAAAAGCATTGTTGAGAAAGAAAGATATCATATCTGATGAGGTTTCAATGACCTTTTCCGGACCTCCTTCAATTGTGGAAATATCTGCATTGACAACTGGAGACTCTTTCTTTTTTAATACGATAGAGGGATCCTTTGTATATGTTAGGAGCTATCTGCTAGGAAAGAAGAATTACAATGTGGATATAGATATGTGTATAAAAGACCAATTACCGATAGACTTGGAAACTTATTGGTAAAATATTTTTGCTAAAAGACTCAATCAAGGTTTAATATTTCAAATAAAACGGGCTTATCTGATTTGATCAATCGTGGCACATGGTCTAGATGCTCTTGGAGAAGGCTACTCCACTTACTGTAGTATTGGGAAGATTTTAAGGTCTCTGAGCTATCAAAAGTTCCCAAAAGGAACTACCAAAAGTGCGTGATGGCGTTGATCCTTTCATTCCTGATTTCCCGCTCACTAATTGGTTTTTTTTTTTGTTTTCCTCCATACTCACACACACATGCCTCCACTAAGGCTTGAACCCCTGACCTCCCTTTGGGAAGTAAGGGGCTGATACCGCTAGGTTACTGACCCATTGGTCCGCTTGCTCGCTCACTAATTGGTGGTGATCTATCAAAGTTTAATGTTGTGAATTTCTGTTTTATTGTAAAAGTTTCATATTTATGTGAACTCGTGGGAATTGATTTAAAATATTTTTGATTGTTTTACTCAAATGTCTTACTCAAATGTTATAACATTCACTAATTAATCCAGTTAAAAGATCAAATGTTATGGGATAGAGTATAGTTCCTACCTTTTAAAAAAAAGTATAGTTCCTATATTTGCTTGTGCAAGTATATTGATTTTTTCTACTTGTTTGAGTGTTTCAGCTTTCTGAACTTCATCAATTGATGATTGAAGCTGCTGAAATACTGAACGTTGAGGCTCCTGACCTGTATTTGCGTCAAAGTCCGGTGCCAAATGCATATACTCTAGCTATCAGTGGTAAAAAGCCATTTGTTGTTGTTCACACAAGTCTTGTGGAGCTTCTGACACGAAAGGAGTTGCAGGTTCTCAATTTGTTTCTCTGTTAGAAGAATGTCTCTGAATTTTTACCACCTTATGTTTTCTAGCTTTCCTTTTTGGTTAATAAAAGCAGAATTTTTATTATTATGTGTTGAGCATTCAGGTTGTCTTTCTCGAGATGTAATCATTTTAGTTGTCTTTCTTTCTTTTTTCCTGTAAATTTTTGTTTTATAATATCTCTGATACTATATAATGCCATTAACATTCTGTTGTTCAATTGATGAATAGGCTGTTTTGGCACATGAGTTGGGTCACCTGAAATGTGACCATGGTGTATGGCTGACGTTTGCAAATATTCTTACTCTCGGTGCCTATACTGTACCTGGTAGGTTTGTCATGTTATAATCAACATATGCATATTGGAATACTCAACTCAGAATGGAGGCCTGTTTCCTGAAATTTGTATGTTTGTTGTGCTGTACGGCGCTTAGTTATAATGGTTCTGGCACGTAATCTGCAATGTAATTATATAGTAAGAGAAGAGACCTCTTACATTGCAAGTTGTATGTGTGTGTTTGAACACGCTTGTCAACAAGGTGTTGTTTTGACTGACTTAAGATTAAAAATGCTGCTTCACTGCGATGGTAAAAGCAATGGGACTCTGGTTCTGTTTCACTTGATTTTGCTTTAACTGAACGATCTCAAGTAGATGCAGACCTGTCACTGGTTATGCTAAACTCCACTTATAGGAAATTGTAACCGAGTATAGTGCGAATATTGTGTGTGTACTTTAAAACTATGCATCATAGAGTTTTCATAGCATTGTTATTCACAGGGCTTGGCGGGTTGATAGCTCAGAGATTGGAAGAACAGCTGTTTCGCTGGATCCGAGCGGCAGAGCTAACTTGCGATCGTGCAGCCCTTCTTGTTGCTCAAGACCCTAAGGTTTCCAGAATTGAAATTCATAAATTGCAAATATTGTGATCGACTTCTTTGTTGTGTACAATTTCATTTGATACTTATTTTAATACGATGCTCCTACAAGAGGTGGTCGTCTCTGTTCTAATGAAATTAGCGGGGGGCTGCCCGTCTATGGCGGATCAACTAAATGTGGATGCATTCTTGGAGCAAGCTCGCTCTTATGACAAAGCTTCTTCAAGCCCAATGGGGTGGTATATAAGGTAAGTACCAGCATATCAAAGCACGAGTAATTAGGATACCAACTTCTAGATGCAGATTTCTAATGAACGCATTCTGTACAGAAATGCTCAAACGAGGCAACTTTCACATCCTATTCCTGTCCTACGAGCTCGTGAGATTGATGAATGGTCAAGAAGTCAAGAGTATAGAATTCTTTTGAATCGTGCAATACAGATTAATTCTGTGCAAAAAGTTTAGCATTGCACGATAGATGGAGTTTGAAATCTAGCACAGCTCGAATACTTCCTCAGTTGTATGGTTAGTTTCCGAATTCTTGTTCTCTCTTAGAATCCAAAACCTTTTACCTGCAGAAACGGTTACTTACCTTAGGATACCTGAACCAACTTTTGTATAGGCCATAGATTATTTTATACTTGTACAAACAGCAAGTGAATGGGCGTGACTTGCCTATTTGATAAATTGAAATTTGGAAGGTGAATATTGACAGAGTGATGACTGCACCTATCCATTTGTTTATACTACAATTTCTTTTTGTTAATATAAGATGGTATGATTGGTTGTTTGTGACTCAATATTAGATATGGGAGATTTTTTGGCTGGCATTATCAAATGACATGTCAGACCTCATGTACACTGTTACTCTTTTGGTTAAAGTTTTTAGGTGCTTATTCAGGTTCCTCAATGCTGATCTGTTTTGATGTGTTTCCTCAACGCTGATCAGATATATACTTGCGAGGCGAAGGAGAGTGCAATGGATGAAGTGTGGATTCAACTTATAGTTAACTGCTGTAAAATCGTTGTTTCTGCGAGGATTGGACTCATTTTGGTGTGCTGTAAAATATTGGTTTATCCAACTATTGTAAATTTACAATAAGGAAACAATAGTGGGGTAGGTTTTTGGTCTGATGTGCGAAAAAGAAGTTTGGATTCTGGAAGGCATTACAAATAGCATATACACTAGTGAAATCAGATGATCGTTGTTGTATGATACAGTTTCACCATGTTGACTTGTACTCGATATAAAAAAATTATACCTACTCAAGTTACGTTATGGCTTCAAAATCTCAAGTATCTCATTGTTGTGAAATTCTGAACAAATGTTTATTTATCATATTATAACTGAGAAAATTAATAGGAAGATGGATTTGATTCTGCATACTGCAGAGTAAAATTCTAAAGTAGGGTTGATCCTGCTTGAATCCCTTCTATAAGTCTCTACAAACGTAGCAGCCTGCTGTTACTTTGTGAATGATACTGCAACCGTTAACCCAGACAAAATTACATTTGGTTTATCGGAAGGTGTACATACTCCTACGTTAGGTTCTATTTCTTTTTTTTTAAATCAGAAATGATGACATTGTACATCCTCGCCACCGGTAAAGACCTAACTATAGTCCATAAATATGTACTTCTTATAAAAACCTTTTCCAAAAATCATCACCAAAGTCTTAACCTAGGAACTCACCATCAAATGAATTAAATTATTAAACATACGGTGACGATGACTCCGTCGCCATGTCTATAGGGTTTTCAAAGATTTCATCTGGCTTTGGTCCCGCATTGACAGGCTGTCCGAATTCCACATTGGAACACAGGGTCGGAGAGAGGATTTCCCAAGTCGAAATTGTACCGGTTAGCATGCCAAATTCCAAGGGCGCAAATCCTCTTATGTGATTATTCCTGCAGTCTCCTGTTGTATGCTGACTTGAGGTCTTAGTTTGACCACATATTTCTTCATAAAATAGCTCATCAGTCCGCTTTTGACAATTATATCATCATTTTTTTTTTTTTTTTTTTTCTAGTTGGTACTCATACACACTTATTTCTTTTGAAACTTGAACCCCTAACCTCCTTTTGAGAAGTAAGAGGTTGATATAGTTAGGCCACTGGCTCGTTGGTAATTACACCATCATTTATAATAGGGTTGATCACGGATCGGATTGGTTCGATTTTGGGTAAAATTCAAACCAATCCGGTTTTCACTGATTGACTAAATCTGAAACCGAACCAATTCGTGGAGATTATCAATCCAAACCAAATCGAACCGTGAAATAACGGATTGGATCGGTTTGGTTCCCCCGGATTGAGCTTTTTCAAATAACCCAATATAATTATATGTTAGTTATGCCCAACCCAATATATGATTATATTTTACTATTTTAGTTATGACTCAGCCAAACAATAAATCTGTCAAAATAGTGTGTTGTAATACATTTAATCTAAAAAAAACAGTAAAAAAGTGAGTGATGGAGATTTGCAAGAATTTTTCAGATGTTATGGTAATAAATTAATAATATAGCTTCTTCTAGAGATGAGGGATGAAGAGAGAGTTCATAGACATGCAGAGAGTCAGAGGCTGGGAGTAGAAAATTTAGGGTTAGACACGCTTATGTAGGACTAAAATTTAAAAGCAAATAATGAATAATAAATAAATAAATAGAAATAATATATTACAGTATACATATAATTATATATATATATATATATATATATATAATATAATTCACGGATTGGATTGAATCGGTTAACGGATTGGTTCGGTTAGATTCAATCCGTTAACCGAATTGCTCATTACAAATTGCTAATTTTTAAAACCATCACCGAACTATTAGATCAAAAAACCGAACCGAACCACACAGATCGGATTGATTCAGATCTGTTTAATGGATTAGCGGATTATTTGAACACCCTTAATTTATAAGTAATATTCCACTATCATTTACAAGTAACATCACATGAGTTTAAAAAAAAATCACCATTTATAAGTAACATCACAAGAGTTTCAAAAAAAATATCACATAAGTCTAAAAAGTAATATCACCGTTGGTAAGAGAGTAACATCACCACTTAAAAATTAAAGGCTGTTGACAGCTAAATATCTCAAAATCCCTTTCAAAATTCTCTTTAAATTAACATGTGACTATTTTTTTGGATATTCTATTTTTTATGATAAAATTTAACTTAAAAAATATTTAAATAATATGTTGAATTGAGTTAGATTTATGTGTGATTATTAGTTTTTCAATACTATGTGAATACCTTATTTTGATAGTGAAATTGGTGAGTGTGGCAATTAATATTAAATTTTGCTAATGTTTTTTCAAAGATATGTTAAATAATTTATACTTAAGTGTATGTTTGTTTAATATTTGGAAGAAAAAAAAAAAGATGCGGCTTTTTTCATTATTTTTGGAAACAATAAGTGCTTTGTTTGTTGTCTAAATTTAATTCAAGTAATTTTAATTTTGGTTTAAATTTTTTAAAATATTTTAATTTTAAATTATAATATAAATGATATGTTGAATTGAGTTACGTTTGTATGTGACATTACTTAGTTGTATTATATGCATATCTTATTTTGAGGGTAAAGATAGTCTATTTTGTTAATTTAGCTGTCAACAAATTTTACTTTTTAAGTAAGGATGTTACCTTCTTATAAATTGTGATATTACGTTTTAGACTCTTATCATATTATTTATAAATAATGGTGAAATGTTACTATTTATAGACGATGTTATAACCCACAATCTTATAAATATGGACCAGTTAACACTCAGGAGACAGCGTGGGAATCACAAGGATTTGCGCCCAAATTCCAAAACCACGACATCAACAAGCTGCCGTTTTCAGCGCGGATCACAGTTTCAGCACGTGTCAAAAAGTGGAACCCATCAGTTTCACGTAAACCTCTAAACAACTCTCTCTCTCTCTCTCTCTCCTGCAATAACAAACCGTTTGAAGCAGAACGAAACTGAGAGGTCAATCATCAATGCCCGGAATAAGAGGACCGTCCGATTATTCACAAGAACCTACTCGTCACCCAGTCTTCGAATTAATGCAAAGGCTAGTTTATCTCTCTTCTATACATATGAATTATGAACACATGTATACACAGCGACGGACAGTATCATATCATATGAACTCTTGATTGGATATTATTCCAATATTCAATACTATGCCAGTCGTCTATTTCTCTCTCAGTGGATTTTCCTTTTTTTTTTATCCGTCTCTCGGAATGCTTACATGCATTCAGAATCGTGTGGCATCGATTTTTCCTTTTTTGGTACCTTCTTTTACATTTGTATACAATTTGCCAGGAATTTTGTAGTTATCATTTTATTTTTTTCTTAATTTTCTTTTTCGATTGGATGGAAACCAACCACTTACACACCCACTTTGCCCATTTGAGACTCTAATCCTCACATTTTATTTTGGGAGATAAAAGGAGATACCACTGGGCCACAATTCATTTATATACATATATAATTAAAAATTGGATTATATTGCTTTGCATTTAGTCTTCATTTATTCGGAGTAAAATAAATTCATGTATGTTGATCACCAATTTCAGTGATTCTGTATAGTTTGATATTTTTATATAATTTAACCTTCTTTCTATGTGTTGTGTGGATTATTGAGAAAAAAAGGGCGTTTTATTATGAATGATGGTTTAAAGTCAAAATGGTTTCATTCTAAGTGGGAAAATGTAGATTGAGGAAAGATTTCCTTGAAAGTAGGGAACATCAAGGATATGTTGCTTATATATTATTGGACAATACAGATGCCACTGCAATGGGAATTATGATTTCAGCATCTCTTCAATATCAGCAGCCTCTGCTTAATTATTTTTCATGACTAAACCCAATGGGCAACTATCATTTTCTTCCATTTATGGTGCAGGAGCCCTTCAATGCGGAGCCACCTCGTTCAGCCATGATTTCTTCTTATGTGACTCCTGTGGATTTTTACTACAAGAGAAACCATGGACCAATCCCAATAGTTGATGACTTAGAAAGGTCATATGTTCTGTCGTAGTTCCATATAGTTCTCTACCTTCGTGATGTTTGAAGTCTATGAGTTTTAACTGACCAAAGACCTGCTTAGCTGAGCAGATATTGCATTTCTATAGCTGCTTTAGTTGAAAATCACAAAGTGTTGTTCATGAAAGATATCTGGTAAGTGATAGAACAGGAGATGTTTATTTCATTATATTAATTTATTATTTCTTGCAAAATTGTTTCAGTTAAATACATACATTACAGCATAAATAATAGGAACCTTCCAAAGTATAACATCATTGGGACTCTACAGATATGCTTTTTCTACATATGCATTGGGCCTATGTTGTTAATGCTCTCTGGCTGTAAACTTTCTACACATTTTGTAACAAAGAGTATGGTTAGATTCTTGATTTTGTTAGAATTTATAAAATCATGGATCTTGGCTTGTTTTGAATTTACTGTGTGCTGGTAACAGAAGGACTGCAATGAGCAAAATAAAAACAGTGACAGGAGTTGGCTGGGATGTTGCTGCTATAGGAAATGGTTAGTTTTCTTCATCGTGGGTTTGAACTTACTTTTAATTCTACTGATACAGTGAGTTCATTTTAGCGATGTTGGAAAGGAAAAAATTAAGGTGTTTATGTGGTAAATCCTAGGATAGTCTGTCAATGGCACACTGTTGAATTCATAGTCATGTAAAGGGATGATGAAAACTCAACTGAACTCACCTATGAGTTTTTTATGGTTCCCTTTGGCTAAAAGCTGATTCGATGCAGTTTGGATACTTCGATAGGTGTTTTATCCTGTGCATTACAATTTACAATAGGTCAAATTCATTTTATGCAGTCAACAATTTTGAGAAAAACAAGTAAATCAAGTCAACTTTTTCATAAGTAAACAGTCTATTAAAAAGTTGGTAATCGCTGAAGTACTATGTTGTGGTTGGACAATGACATGTTTTGGAGATAGAATCATGATGCTGGCATTGGTCGATATGCTAAGAAAGTAGTGTTATTAACCACAGGTCCACAATACATGGGTTTGGCCTCCAACTAATTCAATTGAGCTTATGAGATCAATGATTTTCCATATTCCTTTCTCATTCCTTATATGGATAAAGAGGACCATATTCTCTTGATTCCATCTCCTCAGAAATTTTCTGTGGTTACATAGGCCACACTTGGAAGTTTTTGCTGGAAAATCTACCACTTGTTATGTGGGGTTGGTATGGTCAGGAAAATCTGTTGAACACGTGATCGTCTTTTCTTCAGTTGCAGCTTTACTACATACTTGTGGCGTAGAGCTACATGTGCTTTAGCAACAACCCTAGGGAGTTAAAATCAAGTCATTGAATGGGCTAGTATTAAAATAAAGGATAACTCTTTTCCTAAGCTAGTAAGAAGGGTGATGTTTGCCAATTTTGTTTATCATCTTTTGGGGGAGACAATTGCAGGATTTTTTAGAATGTTCACAAGGACAGGGCTTCACTGGTATTCAATATTGCGATAGATGTTAGGGGTCACTTCTCTGGTCATAGTACTCCTGTTGCGAGAACCATATGTTAAAATTGGAAATATTCAGCTTGTTGGAACTTGAAAGGCTACTGCTAGGGGGGTTGATCTTTGTAATTTTTGGTTGTTTTGTAGGTTGATTTGTTGTGTAAGCTTGTTTGATGAGGGTATCTTATGATGTATTGTTTGGTCAGGGGTACCCCATTGAGCTAGTCCCTAGTTGATTGGGCTTCTCCCTTTATTCATGTCTTGATTTTTTTCATATAAAATGCTTTTTTCTAACGGGAAAAAAAAAAAAAAAACGGTTAGTTTAAGTGAATTATCTCAAAAAAGTTATCCAATTTTTTTTCCAAGCTACAAAGGAAAATGCCGAAGTTTCTGCCATCTCTTCATATTTGTGAATAACTAATATCTGTTTTTGCCTTTGCATCATAAAGATTTTGGGTGATTCAAGTTTCAGATGTCCTCAAAATCGTCATTGACAGCATCAGAAATTATAATTCTGAGTTGGAATATCTGAATTAGTATATATGCTACAACAAACAAGCAAGGATATTGAAGGTGTCTTGAGGACTTAGCTAAAATTTGGGAGGACATGTAAGGCAGTGAGTATAGACATGTTGGTTCATGGTTCATAATTGAGCTGTATGTAGCAATGTGTTTTGATGTGTAGTGAAATCCAAAAGTTGGAGAAAATTTGCTGAGTTGAGTTTAGTTAATACGTAAATATGCAGAAACACTGATGGACATAAAGCTAATAAGATTTGTTCAGCACACGTATGTAGATGTGTGTATGTAAAGTTGCATATGCCTAGTGAAGAACATGCGCATGCATGTGGATGCGTTTCTGCATGCTGTCTTGTGTGAATCCTACGATATCTGTTTTTGCCCGTCTCCCAAGGAGAATTGAAAGCCCTTGGTCCTCTTTTTGGCTATGTTTCTCCCTAATCATTTTCTTTCATGATTTGCCTACCCTCATTTTTTGTTGATTGTACCCTTTGGTTCCTTTAGCTCTTATAGTGTGTAAAGTGGTCGTGTTCCCTAGGAAGCAGACGCATATTGGCTTGGGTCGGGTGAAAGTGGAGCAGCTTGAGTAGAAAGCTGGAGCAAGGGATCAAATCAAGCTAGTGAGTTCTACCCAAATGTATGTAGTGCTTAAGGAGTGTTGTGGTCTATCTAGGTATATATAGGGTTCTTTGGGTTAGGGATGTGGAGGACAGTTGCTCGCATGGCCCAGATCCAGCTACAGTACAGGCGAGTGCCATGCCTATGCTTGTGGGGCTTATATGAGCAGGAGTTGTGATTAGGCGTTGTGCACATTAATCTCCAGGTGCTTTATGAATACACTTAATTCTCACTCACTCATGGACTACAGTGCAGAACAGCCTTAACTTGCCACCATCTTTTTTCTGTTTTCAGTACGTAGTACCTTCATACATCAATAGCCACCACCATAATGCTTAGGCATGCTGTTGACAAACACCAGATCTTTTAGGAAAGGATATCCTGGAACTTGCCTCCAACCCTGGTCAGTGTTCTCTCTTTGCTCGATGCCTCACACTGTTGAGTGAGGGCTTGGAGAACGTGAATGGGTGTGTGGGTGTGCAGTTTACCTATGGGTGTGGCTCAGAAGATCTATTGGATTCTCACCCTTTTAGGGAGGATAAGCAGACGTCGCTCCATGCGGCATTCCTGGTACTGAACATGTTGAATGAGGATAATGGTGCATGTTTTTGCTGATGTCGTCAATTTTCCATGTCTCAACAAGAGTGTATGGCTAATTATTGAATGAAATTCAGCATTCATCTTTACTCAAGTATGTTGGTTTTTATGTGGTGCTTTAAAATTATCCTTAAACAAAAATCTAATTGCTGTAAGTGTTTTTCTTTTGCTATTCTTTTTAAACTTCTTACACCCCTACATATTCAGCTGTTTGGGCTGGGGTCAAATTGGCTGATGTTCTTGAACTTATTGGGATACCTAAGTTGTCGAATGTCACATGCTTAGGTGGGAAGCATGTTGAATTTGTCAGCATTGATAAGTGTAAAGTAATTACTTGAATTTGTTATCTTGTTCTGGGTTCTACAATCCTTTTGCTCTCTTGTATTGTTTGGTGGTGGATTTCACTGGATTCAGTGATTCCTTTAAATTGTAGGAGGAGAATGGGGGTCCATATAAGGCATCGATTCCGTTATGTCAGGCCACTAGCCCTGAAGCTGATGTTTTACTGGCATATGAGATGAATGGAAAAGTAAGCAAACTTTCTTCAAAGAGATAAAACATTGAACTAAATTATGAAATTAATCATACGCACTTTATATCATAACAAGCAAGTTAGGGGCACATTGCGCCTCTCTCCAAATAAGTGGACTTAAAACCCTCTCTACACATGAAGTTTTTAAGTGAGTTCCAATGTTCGTTGCTGCTGTGCAGATAGCTATCAGAGGATATGCTGTATCGGGAAGTGGGCGTGGGATTGAGAGAGTAGATTTATCCATTGATGGTGGCAAAACCTGGGTGGAAGCCTCCAGATACCAAAAAACTGGCATTCCGTATATTGCTGATGATACAAGTTGCGACAAATGGGCATGGGTATTTTTTGAAGCCATGGCTAAAATACCAGAGAGTACCGAGATAGTTGCTAAAGCGGTATGTCACATAACTGTTTTCTCACCATAGTGTTTCCTGTAATTTGATATTTGGAAATGTGTAGTGTATTGGTTACTATCTAATGAATCCTATGAACAAAGATTTCATCCTTTCCTACATATATGTATTGTTGCAATCTTAAACCACCTAAGAGAGTTCGTTCTAATCAGATTTGTGAATGGATGAACATCTAGTTGACCTGGTATTTAGTCTCTACATCCTCGCATGCCCCACTTTTTACCAGTTTTTTTTTTTTTTTTGGCTTAGAAAATATAATTTTGTTATGGTCATAAAACATATTTCCAAGCTAGTGGCAGCTGAATACATTCTAATTAATGTTCTGATTTGTCAGTTATTATGTGGTATATGAACCTATAATTTATAAAAGAGAGATCAGAACCCATTAAGTTATAGGTTGTTTTGGAAGTTTGGACCTAAACCTAGGGGTAGAAGTTTTCCATCTTGACTCGCTGAAGTACATGCAGTTCATCTCCTCAGCCATGAATCGTCCCCCACAACACACACACACACAATTGATTTGCATTTCTCTGATCATGATTTTGCTTTTGCTTTTGATTATGAATTGTCCCCCACAACACACACACACACTTGAATTCCTGTCATGTGGATACAGCCGCAATTGTCCAACCCGAAAATGTGGAACACATTTGGAACTTAAGAGGTATTCTGAACCATTCATGGCATCGGGTAGTACAAGAAAAACAGTTTTTTATCTCGCACTTTTTACCACGGTTTTAAAATCATGGCAAAGGACCCTTTCTACCACAGTTCATGAGGAACTGTGATAAAAAGCTAGCCCTTTCTACCACAGTACATGAGGAACCGTGATAAAAAGCTAGCCCTTTCTACCACGGTTCATCACGGTTCATGTTCATGCGGAACCGTGGTAGAAAGCGAATTTATATTGGCGGGTGTTATTCCCACTGATATTTTCAATGCTTGCCCTGTCCAAAAAAATAAAAAAATATATATATATATTCACCAAATCATCGTTTTTCCACACAAAGAAATCCACCAGGACTGCCTCTGATCCACATCAATTTCAATTCTAAGTCGGCAAACTCTCCAAGCCATAACCGCCACTGGGCATCTACAGAGCAAATGATCCACAGTAGACAAATCCACACACCCGCACAAAAAAAAACACACACTGTCGATCGGATCGAAGCCCTAACCTGTGAAAATGTTTTTCCCTCTTTCCATCAAGCCTCTTTCAGTTGGCCATCGAAGCAAACCCTAACCCCTAAAGAAGAAACCCTAAGTCTGGAATCCTCCATTAGAGACACGAAGGTGTGTTCGGCAATTTGCAGACGACCGCTTCTGTTAGGTTTGTTTCCAATCTATTTCTCTCTGTATTTATACACGTATATATATGTGTGTGTTTGTTCGCAAAACTTACTTGGTTGATTAATATTGATACATAAATTTTGATTCTTATTCTTCTCACTCCCTGACCCTCTTGAAGCAAGCCTTAAGCCCAGACAACTTAGAGTTCAACTCAGAGTCTCGAATCCTCCATTGGAGCAGAATAGAAGTGGTAGAAATCACTGTGTTCTAATGCATTATCATTCTTCGCAGGCTGATTCCCCTCGCAAAAGGTATCCCTAATAATTTAGGTATCCCAGTTGTCTATTAAACTGTTGATAGAAAGGAAATTAATTTCACTTGTATTAACACTTACCATTGTGTCCCATGAGATTGTTTATTTTCTAGTGTGTGTTGTTTTATATTTCCTTATGTGATGTTGGTTGCTTTGGAAAGTAAGATTTGGGGTTGTGAACCTTTAAAACACTTCTTTGTTGTTTGTTAATTGAAGTGTCGGATTTTTATGTCTTCAATTAATTCCTGAGTTAGAGATGGTCTATATTTAATTGTGTCCATTTTATATCCTCTCAGTGAGAATTGGGATTGTGAACCATTAAGACACTTCCTTTTTTTTTTTCACCATTGTGATATCATAAAACATGCTACATTTTAAAGCACAATTTCCTATATATTTCTCATTCAATTGGTTTTGTGTACATCAATCACACTACACTCCAAAAGCACATTTCTATCATATCTGGTTACTCTAATGAAACCACTTTTTTTCGACTTATCCCTCTAAGTCTGGTTGCTGTTTATCTTCTTCTTCTTCTTCTTTTTTTTTTTTTTTGTAGAATTTTAGTCACTAAAACTTAATTTTCTCCTTTAAGCCTGGTTGCTGTCAATGTGTCTCTCTTTCCAAGTCTTAGTACATATAAAAAATAGGGTAATTCATTCCTTACAATGACTACATTGTATAATGCTTTTCCCCATCTCTTCAGCAGCCCGAGTTTGGTGTTTATGAACTACAAAGAGGAGGAAGAAAAGAAGATAAAAATGAATGCACAACCATGAGCTTATTCATTCATTTTCTTCGGTCATTAGAGAGACATTACAGTTCCTTTCAGCTTGAACTCAGTTTATATCTCAAGCTTACTTGACATACGTGAGATATATGTGGCAGTTTCTCTGCAGTCCGGGCATACATGGTTTTGTCCAGGTTTCTTAATATAATCTCTATTACCTTTCTTTTTTGTTTACTTGATTTAGGGATAATGTAAGGCCATGAAATGTGAGATGACATTCATTAAGAATTATTTGGAAGCAACGATTGATTGATTGCGTCAATTTTTTTGTTTATGATTGATTGGTTGCAGCAAATGATATTGATGTTGTGTGTGTTTTGAGTGAAACAAATATATATAACAATTGCATAAGTGCATATAGTTTTTTTTTACAAGTCAAAGTTCATTTAGTTTTTAAACATCAACGAGTTTGCATGAAAAATGTGCGACTTAAACTGTGACTTGTATACCTTGCTGAAATGAGCAATTCATTTGTTTTATTAGGAATGATTTAGTTTATGTTTTGAATGCGTGATATGCAAAAAAAATTGGACACATTTCTAAGGAAAATCTCTGGACATGATAATATTGTTTATTCCCTGTAGCCTTTTGATCTTTTCTGATGACGAGTTTGTTATATATATCTGGAAGCTAGTCTTGATGAATTTTGACCACTTGAGAATTATATGGTATGGATATAGACACGGAATACAGATACGATATGACACGCCAAAATTTTAAAAGGTAAAACATGATCGAGTACGGTTTAGACTCAACTATTTAAATATGAATTTTTATTTTGTATAAACGTATTGAGTAATATTTTATAAAACTTTAATTCATTTTTAATTTTTATATTAAGCGTTATCATATATATATCATTATTCTACTACTTTGTCATAATAGTGTTTTTATTTTAAATGAACAAATATTATTTAATGTTTCGCTTGTGATCATACGTGTATAATGTCAATTTTTCTTAAAGAAAAAAGTTGAACATTTGTGAATGTGTTTATATTATTTTCAAGATTATTAGGTAGGCCTGTGTTAGAGATGGATGAAAGTGTGAAGTGTGGGGAAAATGTCCAAAATAATAAAAAATTATTTTTATTTACGGACACGTATGTGAAATATGAAACACATGTTCGACGAGTGTCGGTGTCCTCATCAGGTACGACCTCTTCGTAAAAGTGTTCATGTTTCGTAACTTTAGAACGATATGAATATTAATGAATTTTGATCTGATAAAAATAATTTATGTGATATATTATTAATCTTTTCAAATGAACTAATTTAAAACTTTTATAGCAGGGAAACAAATTTAAAAAGAGGTCATAGTTTGATATTTCATTTAAATTTAATTATCTTATATATATATATATATATATATATATATATATATATATTAAAATGTGACATTTCATGGTTGGATTTAACAAAACATCCATAAGGTTTTTTGAATTTGATGTTAACATGCTGTCAAAACTGTTTTATGAGCAGAATTTTTTCAATCTTTTCCTTCAAATCTGATTTAATTGGTAAGAAAATTTATTGATTTAAATTGATAGAAGAAAAATATAGTCTTTAAGTTTCCAATGGACTTTCGTTTCATGCAAATTGGTTGAGAATTTATTTTTTTATGAATTTTCAAAGAAAAGTACGTTTTTGGGAAAAACTTTTTCAAACAGATTTTTGGGCTTCCTTATGATTTTTGGTCCTTCAAATAGTCCAATCAATAAAAAAAAAGTCAAAAAAAAGCAATAATAAAAAGGAGCAATAATCTTGGTTTACTAGTGTTATCCCTTTTTTTATTTTTTTATTTATGTTTAGAATCTTGCTTTTGGTTACTAGTATATCCCATATATATATATATATATATATATATCAAACTTGTGTTATCCCATTTCAGCTGATAACATGATAGATTGATGAAATCTCAGTGCCCAATAAAAAAGTGGTCTGCTCATATAGTGGTCTGTTCATATATTTTTAAGCAACTATATATATATATATATATATCTCTTTCCTGATGGAGGCCCACCCCTTTCCCTTCTCTGCGTTGCACTTCTGTGATTAGATAGGTACTGTAGAGAGTGTACACTATTGTTATCAACATTTAGAGTTCCTGTAAACAGGTGTTAGTGGAAGAATGCTAAGTTTGATAATAATAAACCCAATAAAAACCAATAGAAGAATAATAATTGTAGGAAGAATAATAAGAAGAAATCTAAAGAAAAATAAGTCACCAAAAAATAACCAAGATATTTCACTGAAAATAAAATTGATTTGGTTAAGTAGTAATGACTTGAAATTTTTTATGAAAATTTCTTTGGATTCCTGTGGCATCAAAACCCTAAGAAATCAAATATATTACTTTTTTTCTACTTTTACTTGTATCTGTATATGTCACCTTTTTATGTGTTTTATATATATTACTTTTTTTCTTTTCTTTTTTTGAGTTCTAATCTGTTCGTTGTTGCATGTGTACAATAAAACATAAGCTTAAAATTTCTGGTGCTGTAGAATAGAACTTATTTATACATAAACACAACACACAATTTTTGTACAGACTTTATATATATAGACACAATTACTTCAATTGGGGTGGGGGTGTTAAATCAGTAAGTATAATAGAACAATATCAAATAATAAAAAGAGGAAAGTATACACCCTTGTAGAAACAAATAAAGAAAAAATCAAAATTGAGAACCAGACCAAAAACAAGACGCTCCTAACCAAAACTACACAACTTCACTTAATTCCAAAAGTTACCTCAAATCACTAATCCAATTAGCCCAAAAGTTATTTCTTGAAATTTGATCAAAAGGATAGTAATTTGTTATTTTTTTATAAAGAAGTAGAGTTAGTGACCTAGGTTCATGAGGCATGATCTGGTTTTACACCATAGTGTCGGCAAAGCTTGAACAACAGTGCTACGGATTGAATCATTTTTATTTTCCTGATACCCATTTCATTCTTAATATGACAAATAATTAAGTCCAAGTTATAGAAACCATATGAAGTGCTTTGCCAGACAAGGAATATGGGTGAATATATAGATATTCAGGTTCATTAGGTTGCTTACCTCTATGGCTTTATCTGTGACAAAAAAACATAAATAATTTTAACAATTAGCAGCTTCAACAAGTTTAGGCTTCATTGTCAGACATACTATAGATCTTGCTGATTTCAGAAGAGTAGAATGCACGTACCCAAGACAACTTATGTTACTGAAAATTACATAGTTTTTTTGGGGGTAAGAGGCTGACTACTAATTTCATTTAAGAACTGCTCTATTTATTCTTTTACTTTAACTATTACATCTTTGTAGGTCAAAGATAAGGTTGTGGGATTGCGGTTGCTGTTACTTTTTTTTGTATGGCTCATGAAGAAGTTGCATATATGGAAAGAGAGAGACTAAAATAGAGCAAAAAGATATGAAATTTTTTTGTTTTATTTTAGTTAAGTAAAGATATAAGGTGTGGATCATGCATGTACTTCTTCGAAATTTGTATATGGTTAATTTTTGTATAAAACCATGATTTGGAATTGGTTATATATATATATATGATGTTATTCGCCAGTTGTAAATTATTTTTGTTATGATGCTATTTTATTTATTTATTTAGGGTTTACTTCTGGGGTCCGTGCAAGGCTAGTGGTATGAAAAAAAAAAAAAAAAAGGCATCACGGGGGCTATATTTAAAAAAAAAAAAATAAATTATATAACACTTTCTATTTTCTACCACGGTTTTCTTTTTACCACAGTGCGAAACCGTGGTAGAAAGAAAGACTTTCTACCACGGTTGTTTCTACCATAGTTCAAAATCGTGGTAGAAAGCGTTTTTCACTGTAGTAAAAAGTCATTTTTCTGCTGTTTTCTCCATGTTGTGATATGTGAAATGGTTTATCTTCCGTGTGCCAGAATGGTGCAAAAATAAGGATGCCTAATAAATATAACGGTTTAAAACCTAGAGAAATGTAAAACCTACCAGTGTAAGAACTAGGCTTAAGACACCAAGTCTGCTTAGGCAATTTGTATCATGTTAACTTGAACTTCATCCATTTATGTTTTGTTAATAAATATGTGCTCTGGGTGTATCAAATCAGGTTCTCCTGTTATTTACCACCACCATGTACCAAGGTCGTCACACTCACACCATCTTCCAATGCAGACCCCTATACCAACCAAATAATTTCTTCTTTGATGCTGCCAATCTTGCAATGCACACTGAACGGGTTTGGAATCAGAGAAAATTAATAGACATAGTTGTTTAGCACCTTGTTTTTTTGTTTTAATATATATTATCTATATTTATGTTTCTATATATTTTTGTCCTGTCAAACAACTTACACAACATTCAACTTTGGAGATAGAGAAAAATCAACTAGATTATTTATTCAAATGTTATATTGTGCTGGCTAGGTAGAAAAATAATATTTGCTAACCTTATATAAGTTTTAATTTTCTTTTTTATCCTAACAAGAATTTCTTATGTTGCGTTTCGGAGCGCCAAACGAACTTTAGATTTGGGATTTATAGAAATTTAATTAATATAACATTAGTTGACATAGATTTGTTTATTTGGATATTTTTTTTATTCAAGTCTAAATTATTGATTCATACTTTCAAACATAGTTGTTTTGTTGAAAATTTGAATAGTCAACCTTCTAATTAATTTTCGGTGCATCTCATTCATATTACTTTTAATGACGTGGTGTGATATATTTGTGTACTGGTATAGTTTTTTTTCGGCAGCATGACCATACAGAACTGTGTTGCAGTTACGTTTCAGCGGCACATTTGGTTGTCTGTCCTTAAGTATTTTTAAAGATGTTGCACGATACACACACACAAACACACACACACACACACACACACACACACACAAAAGTAGGATGGGTTCCTTTTCTTACAGAGTACCAATGTTTTTCAAAGTTCCCATGTCAGATGGGCACCAGGAAGTGGCAATTTTAGGTAAATGACAGCCTTTATGGATTTGTTTAAGGAAGGCTCTTCCATCTCCAATAAGGTTTAGTGCTGGTATTTCTGAACCAATTAAAAGAAGATTTAGTGGGCTATGAGCTTTTCAGATCCGTGGGCTTAACCCGCCCATGATTATTTCTTTTATAGATTCAGGTTTTAATTTAGCTAAGCCTACACGTTATGACTCTGAAACTTGGATTACAATAATAATATATATAAAGTAGAACCAAATCCACCACACTAAAATCTAATCAGTGGAGTGGGCACAGTACATAACTTTGAAATAAAGAATAATTAGGGGTAAGGGGAACACTAAAAAAATAAAATAAAATAAAAAGACCTCATCCAATGTGCTTCCACATTCTAGGTTAAGGCGTGACATTTTAGTTAATTAAACCTGCTATATTCTAGATTAGTATGATCTGAATAGGACAGTTACAGTAATTTTTATAATCTGAATAGGACAGTTACAGTAATTTTATAATCTGAATAGGACAGTTACAGTAATTTTATGTTACTTATATTAAGTTGCTAATTCTCTACTCACCAATCGATAACAAATTAGCATAATTTTTTACTCGTATTAATTAATATATTGATATATAGGTATAGTAGTGCAGCAGTACTACTGTAGTAGCTGGTTTACTTTTGATAATTGATACCAAGCAACTAACAATTGTTTTCCTTGTTATGTCAAAAATAAATATGTTTACAACAATCACCAAAATGAAAATTTGGAAGTTATTGACCCAATTCGGTGCTATAAATTGTTTAATTCCGCCCTAAGCCATGAAATTCGGTACTCTTTATTTACTGTTGTACCATAAGAGATTCACTCAAAACTATTTTCTTTTTCTTTAAAATTTTGTTTTATAAAATATCTAAAATTGCTTTTACTACCAAAAAAAAAAAAAGTTGTTTCTTGAAATAATTAAGTATGATTTTGTTGCTAACAAAAATATAGAAATTCGGTAAAAGCTTTGGTTTGGTGTTCTTTTATAGTAAAATACAAAGGGAGTGTGGCACTACTTTCTTTTAATTATGGTTAAATTTGTTTCCACACTCAGAAACTAAAACTTTCAAGCGAAGTGCAAATAGCATAAAGAGCCGCCTGAACCCACTTGCTCTGTGTTAAGGATTCTGTTAATTAAGCACAACTTGAACTATTATATTAAATTTTAGGAATAATTTCAAAAAAATGGAGTTTTGTAGGTAAAAGATCAAAAAAAGATAGAGTCAAACTTTTATTTTTCAAATAAATAGAGTTTTATGAAAAGGGGACATGAAAATTTGTTGTGAAATGACCCAATTGCCCTTTCCCTCTCTTCAATAGCGGTGAATATGGGCTCATAAGTGTGACAACGAGCTTTGAACTGGCGATGAAGCGGATTGAATGGCCGAGCACGAATCGGCAACGATGAACTGCGTCAAGAGAATCGATGCTGGCGACGATGGAGTGTTCTTACCGGCGATGAGCAAGGATTGAACTTACTAGTGAGACCCGAGTCTGAGCCTGGTCTGGACAATGGTGGAGCAGCACGGTTGGGTCTTGTTAGGAAACGTGCAAGTTTTAAAAACTTTTCGAGGGATTTTCTTTCACAGATCTTGATTCATCACATAGAGACAAGTTTTATGCAAAAATAAAATATGATGAATCATTCAATTAATGGATTGAATACTTACATCAAAGGTTTGAGTAAACCTTTAAATCTTTCCTCTAAAGTGAATGTTCTCACTTATTGTAGATCCCTTAGCAAGATGCCTTCTCCTTGGATCTCCATCTTCTTGGTAATTGTTATGCCTTTAGGAGTCACTCATAAGTCTCCATGAATGACCTTGGAAAAATAGGCTTGTGGGAGCCTCCATTAGATGAGAACATTAACCCTAATTTTTTTAGAGAGAGAAAATTTATTCCTTTTTTTCTTCTTCTAAAAATCACCATCAAAATATACATAGACCATGTATATTTATAGGCAACATAAAGGTAAAGAAAAGGAAACAACGAATCCTTCTCAATATCTAATTTACATGTCTCAAATCTAATATGATTCTAATATCAAGTTGGGCTATGAGTGAGAATCCATTGGCCTATTATTTTTTTGGCTACAATGAATTAATAATTGGCCCGGTCCATGGACCCAATTCAATTAATTCATAAATTAATTTCTACTCCACTAAAAGAAATTAATTGAACTCCAATTAAATAATAAATAACCTCTAAATCAATATTGCACTTTGACCCCTCTATGCATAATTAGTTATCGGATAAATAAAGCCATCAATCCGACTACTTAATTAATATATTTATTTTGGTACCATTGATTATTTCTGACTCGATCACAATAAAACATTTGTTTGACAAAAATAATAATTTAATAAATAAATATATAATAAATCATTTTGTCTAAAACCACATGAAGGCCTTCGAATTTACTTTGTGATCAACCATAATCAATACAAAATAAATACAAGTAGCAATGATGCAAATATTGAAAATATAACCCTCTAACTATTAATCACATAACTACCTAAAGTGTCGGTCTAAGGATCCCGAAGAATCCGCCGATCAAATCAAAGTAATTATTAATTAATAAAAGAGTCTATAATTTTCTCATGCTTAAGAGTCAAATGCCATGACGATGATAGGGAGTAATTGCATACGACGGCTCTCGCAATATATCTCAACCTAACGCGGATTCAGTTCAAGTCTTAATTAATTATGAGTCTATCCATAATTACCGACTATGAACAATTTATAATTAATATTTATATATTATGCATTGATTGCCATCATTTACATATATATATATATATAAATATTTCTTGTAATCACAGAGACACTATCAATTTCATAGTGAATCGAAACATAATACATTGAATTCACCAATTATATAAATCATAAATATTTCAGATATGTCAGGAACATATGTCACTATAATCCAGATAGGAATTTGCTATGCCAAGGCATATAAATCCCAACAGGTCTGACAGCGTGGGTGTGGTCGAATGAGATGTTGTTAAGGAAGGTGATGGAGAGAGGGACGCGCCATGTGTTTTTGATATGTTTGCAATAGTTGGGTCACTGACTCACTGGGCAGTGTGTATAGACTGTATAGTACTCCCTGTTGAGGCACAGCGGAAGCAAAAGAAAGAAAGGAAAAACAACAATTCAAACCAAAACACAAGATATATACGTGGTTCACCCAAAATCAGGGTTACATCCACGGATGAGAAGAGATTCACTATATATGTAGAGATATTATAATAGTAGAGAATTTCAACACCGGACTATGCACACAAACTCTTGACCGAGTTCTCCGTGTATTCCACGAGACTCCCTCTCGCCATCAGTGTTCACTCTACCAAACCCGTAACTCACCCCTACCATCAACGTACTCCTTCATGAGGTTACATCTCTCTCAACTCATAACTCTCAACAATAACCTAAGTGTCTATTTATAGTCACATACCCAATTCCTTTGGGGACAATGATTACAATTTCTTAGAGCCCAATTCACATCTCTATAAGAAATTACCATAAACAATACACTCTAAAATAGAAACTAACAATAATGGGAATTTGAGACATAATTTCTAACAATCTCCACCTTGGCTTAAATTCCATTACGTCAATCATCGCTTCTCATGGCAATTAAATCTGGACAATTCTCTGCGACTTCAATCTTCTCTATCTTCTTGCAGAACTCAGATTATCCCCACTATACATTGCTTAATCAGTTAAAACCCCAACGCTCCACCTTGACTACTCAAGCTCCATGCCATGTAACCAAGCCAATTGATTTCACCTACAACTAAAGCCCGTTGTAGCACATGTTGAGACTTCTTGTGTTTTCTGAATCTCCTTCACCTTTGGCTCTGATACCAGTTGTTGAGGCACAGCGGAAGCAAAAGAAAGAAAGGGAAAACAACAATTCAAACAAAAACACAAGATATATACATGGTTCACCCAAAATCAGGGTTACATCCACGGATGAGAAGAGATTCATTATATATGTAGAGATATTACAATAGTAGAGAATTTCAACACCGGATCATGCACACAAACTCTTGACCGAGTTTTCCGTGTACTCCACGAGACTCCCTCTCGCCATCAGTGTTCACTCTACCAAACTCGTAACTCACCCCTACCATCAACGTACTCCCTCATAAGGCTACATCTCTCTCAACTCATAACTTTCAACAATAACCTAAGTGTCTATTTATAGAGTCACATACCCAATTCCTTTGGGGACAAGGATTACAATTTTTTAGAGCCCAATTCACGTCTCTATAAGAAATTACCATAAACAATACACTCTAAAATAGAAACTAACAATAATGGGAATTTAAGACATAATTCCTAACACTCCCATATCTCTCTCGATTGGAGAAGATGAATGCACAGTACCATTTTTTTTTTTTTTTTTTGAAGTAAAAGAATTGAAAGAGGGGTGCCATCGGGAGTCAAACCCAGGTTGCTGGATTCAAAGTCAGTCCACCATACCATGGAACCCATAGTACACATCTGAGGCCGACAAATCGCCTTCTTGCTGTTGGAGTTATGTTTCAAATTTATTTTATTAATCTATATTTATGAAGACTTTAAGTATTTTACAAACGCTAAACTCAAAGGTTTTTCACCTGATGCATTTAATCTACTATATTAATATGTTATTTATGAGTTAAGTTTAAAGTTATATTAAATACTTAATTAATATCTTCTAAATATATTAGTATATATAATATGGCATATGAAGCCTACGATATACATACTCTCTAAACTAGTTAGAGTTAATCAAAAGGGATTTGAAAAGGTGTTTTCAAACTATTGATTTTGAGTGTGTAAGTTCTATACTTTCAGTTGATCGGACGGAGATAAATGCATAGGTTCATAAAGAAGAAGATTGATTTTGAGTAAGTAAGTTCCATACTTTCAGTTGATCGGACGGAGATAACTACACAGGTTCATGAAGAAGAAGTGCAACCTTCATGAACATACAGTTTTGATATCTGGGCTTAGTTGAATCCCGGAGATAGTGCTGTCATTTGTCTTCCGTTGCACGTGGGAGAGGCTTCAATTATCTTCAAGAAGCGATTACGCGCCTCTAAGCCTCGATACTCACCGTTTTAAATATATCGGTTCCAACAATTAAAATTGAATTCCGTTTTAAATATATCGGTTCCAACACTTGCTCGCCGACTAGACTTGCAGACCGCGGGGTTCCCAAGAGATTGTACTTGTAGAATCAGATCGGCGCCCCTTTTGGTCAAAAACGCTCTTGGGTAGACCTTCTTGCTGCGGGGTTGATAGGGAATTGAGCATCAATCCCAAAAGAGTAGGCAATCACAAAGAGATGTGAAGAGAGAAAGGGTAGTTGGGTTATTTCGCAATAAATTTTCACGTCCGCGTCAGCCTTTCATAAAATTCCATTAATTTGAAAAATGGAAGTTTTACTCTATCTTTTTGGCCTTTTACCTACAAAACTCTATTTTTTTTAGAATTATTCTTAAAAATATATCAATAAACACTTATACTGTGTTTGGGAGGACGGAATTAATGCTTTAAATTTAAAATTAAAAGAAATTTAGTTTAACATTTGAAAAAAAAAAAAAAATACTTCTCATTGACACAGAGACACTAAATAAAGCACTCAAAAATCCTGAAATACCCAATCTTTACCAAAAAAAAAAAACTTGCTTCCCATGTCAACCAAAAAAATTATTAAGAAAAAATAAAAATAAAAAATAAAAATAGTAATTTTAATTAAAAAAATTAAAAAAATAAATAAAAATAGTAAATTTAACTTTATTAATTTTAATTACTTTATATCTAAGTCGCGGGAGCAAGAACAAATTCGAGAGTGGTATAATTAAGTAATAAATATTGAGAATTTGAGCCAAAACCCTACTGAGAATTTAAGCCAAAGCGGTGGAGCATGAGAACAGGAGCGCGCTCAGAACGTAAAAGTGACACCTATTAAAAAAGATTATGTGACTTAGCTTGATATTACTTTCAGGTGCCAAAAAAAAAAAGAAAGTATTTCTTGCAGAAAAGAAATTCAAATTTATATGGCATTATGACACATGACAATATATTAAAAATAAAAATAAAAAACAAGCTCGCGGGCACCAGTCTCTTTTTCTCAAAATTTGCCTCCCCGAAATCGACCACTGTAGTTGGTGTTTCTAATGATTTTTGGGTATTTAATCGCCCACTAGTTTATGCATACAAAATACTCTCACCTCTCTGTGCTTTAATGGCTCTACCTTCCCCCCTATCTCTCCTCTCTCTCTGCGTGTGTTATATATCTCTTTTTCCTCTATACTACTGTACCCAGTCGTTAAAACCCTAGCCATTTAAAACCTGGAGACTCTGACTGAACACATGTATTTCAATTTCACTACAACCGTCCTTGACTTCTCTGGTACGCCTCTTTCTGTGATGTATGTGTTTATTTTCTCTTTAGTAATAGACTATCTTCATCAAGTTTAATTAAAGTATTTTTTTATTTGCATGTTAACTCATCTGTTGAATATGATCAAGTTATGGTACAAAAATTCGTTTTTGGGCTTTCAATTTTCATTTCTCATCTGACTTCTCAAGCTTTGTTTGATCATCCCCTTGGAACAGTTTTTCTTTTTTTTTCTTTTTTTTCTTTTTTTTTCAGTCTCAATTTATATGTATTTGGATTGCTATTTGTATACACAAATATAATATATATTTATTTGAAGCTTGATCATGTTGTGACATAAAACATTTGTTTTTCCTGAGTGAATTTAGTTTTATATGAATTAGGGTGCAATTTAATTTAATTATTTAATTATTTATTATTATTATTATTATTATTATTTTCTGATGATCAGTCTTGACATAAAAGGGGTCTTCCTTTTGCTCTCGAGTTCTCATCTGGGTATGCAATTTTTGCTGATCTGTTATGTGTTTTCACTCATATAATTCATATTCTCTAATTCTTGATTTGCCAATTACTGGAATTATTATATGTTGGGTCTCAATGTCTTGCCTTATAATTTTTTTTTTGGTGATTATTTCTTCATTCTTTACCAATCCATGCCCAAAAAAAAAAGAAAAAAATAAAGTCTTTATTTTTTTTTTCTTCTTTGAGTTTTTGTATTCTCTTGCGTATATTATGGTGATTCTTGTATGTTGTTAATTGATTGGCGGTATTAATTTTAATGGAATTTTCAATTAGGTGACGACACACAAGATTTGAAGACATTTACTCAATGTTCCAAGGGAAAGAAGTAGATGTGGTGGAAGAAATGGAGGTGATGCGAAAAAAATGTCACTGTCTAAATAAGAAACATAGGCTTTATGGGGATTCTAGTAATGGTTGTTGGGTGAGTTATGATAATCCTCCACCTGAAAAGACTAGGATTTCCCAGATCAACACTAGATCAGATCAGAATTCGGTTCTACTTTCTTCCAATGACAACAAGGTTGATGGTTCATCCGGTGTAGAACCTCAGGATGCAGATTACACTTACATTCCCTGGCTTAGTTTTGATTTACTTGATGTGATCTTGGCGAGCTTTCCCAGATCAGAATATTGGAAGTTATCCTTCGTAAACAAGAGGTATTTAACCCTTCTAAAGAGTGGTGAGCTATTTAAGATTCGGAGAGAGATTAAGGTTAAAGAACCATCTGTTTTCATGTTGGCAGTTGGGGATCAGAGTAGTTGGTGGTCGTTTGATCATGAATTTAAGTCTTGTAGGAAGCTCCCAGTTTTACCTGCGGATTTTTGCTTCACAAATGGAGATAAGGAGTCACTTTGTGCAGGGTCTCATCTGCTTGTTTCAGGCATGGAGCTTGATGGCCTTGTTATATGGAGGTATGAATTGAAAACTAATAGATGGTGTCGGGGTCCTTCTATGATCAACCCAAGGTGCTTGTTTGCATCAGCCACATGTGGAACCTATGCTTTTGTGGCTGGTGGGATTGGGATGGGTAAAGTCTATGATACTGCTGAGAAGTATAATCCTGAAAGCAAATCATGGGAACCCCTTCCAAGGATGTTAAAAAGGAGGAAGTTTTGTTCGGGTTGTTACATGGACAATAAATTCTATGTGATTGGAGGACGAAATGAGGTAGGAGAACTCACTTGTGGGGAATATTATGATGAGTCCTTGGGCGAATGGGTTCTGATCCCAGACATGTTAAAAGATGATCCTGTTTTAACTTCTTATTCTCCACCTCTTGTGGCTGTTGTGAATAATGAGCTCTTTTCGCTGGAAACTTCTTCCAACCAGCTGAAGGTGTACTTGAAGAAGAGCAATAAATGGAAGCAGTTGGGGCGTGTCCCGGTAAGAGCTGATGCCACCAGAGGTTGGGGTGTCGCATTCAAGTCTCTGGGCAATGAGCTACTTGTGATAGGTGCATCTGCAGTTTCTTCTGCTACTAATTGCATGGTTATATACACCTGCTGCCCAGATCCTAATGCCGATAACTTGCTGTGGAAACCCCTTGGCATCGGCCAAACTCGGATTAGTAATTTCATTTTGAATTGTTCTATTATGGGAGCTTGATCTTTGAGGAGTCTCTGTGTGATTGGAGTGTCTAAATAAAATGCAAAAGTTATTTTTGTTGTCTTTTATATATTTTGATCACATATCCATTTGTGCTGTTTCTCCAAGCTCTGTGATTCATTTTTCTTTTATTTATTCTATTTTTTGCTCTCAATTCCCTGCACTGCTCTAGCAAATTTTGTTTGGACCCATAGAACATCGGCCAATTCCCAAAGAACTCGATCAAGTCTGGTTGATTCTATCAGTGTATCAACTCAAACAACTCAGTCTGAGTTGCAGAGATTAGACCGATACAGAGAACTGTAATTGTATCTAAGCCTACTACTCGAGGGTACTTTTCTTTTTTCTATTGGCAATTGATGTTCAAGGGTACTTGGTAGTACGTGAAGAACTAGGGACTTGCAGGCTCTCCTAAGCATTATTCTGTCTTTACCAATGGTTTATTTAATTTTTGGGTGAAATAGCGATATAATCTCATCACATGACCTCTTTCATGTTTCTTAATTTTCAAAAGCATCAACAAATAGCTTATAAAATCTCAATCTCTGTGTAAGTTTATACTTTATTTTCCTTGTCCGTCCATGTACAAAATAGATTGCATGTCTATGAACTCATGAGAGTTTGCTATTCATTACTGTTCATTTTCCTTAGGACTTGCAGTGTGATGCTACTTTCTCATCTTTCAAAATGGAAAGGTCCAGAAGTGGGTGTGTGTTTTGAGAAAATAAAAAATAAAAAAAGATTTTGAAAATGTTTGTAATAAGAGTCCGAGTTGCTGATAGAATAAAAAAAAAAAACCTCAGTCAGTCATGGCTTTTTATACAATGAACAACTATATAAATTCAGAATCCAGATTACAGGAAAGTGGGAGTAAAAGACGCAAACAGAGGATACAAGACTCAACACTTTAATTGAACAATGATCCGACTATAACACACATGAAAATATGAACAATATTATTAAACAAAACAAGCAAGTAATCATACATTTCATGAACATGGCATTGACGGTTCAATCTGTACGAGGTACCATTGCTGTGGCAGATATGCTGAAATCATTAAATCAGAAACTATTCCAGTGGTGGTGATTTTTTTTAGAAACTTTAATACTAAGATTGCGAAGCACTCATCCATTTTAGAAATAATCGGAGCGTTTCCATAGAGTTTGTTGATTAATTGTGCGATCAATTTTTTAATTCAGTTGTTCAATATTGTGCATTAATAATTAGGGGTGGCAATTGAGTGGGTTTGGGCAAGTTTTGTACTGATGATGAATGAACTAGTTAATAGTTAATAGTTAATAGTGAGTTCATAATTCATTATCAACGTAGATGGGTGATAAAAATATTGGGTATTAAGTGAATTAGTTAACACACACTCAACTCAATTATCCAAATATTTTTAGATACAAATTCTCAAATTATTTTAATTCATGAATACAAATATATATATATATATATATATATATATATATATATATAAAATATTTTTATATTAAATTTATTAATTTTATGATCTTACTCGTAACAATTTTTTCCTTTTTAATATTTTATTATTTATTTATTTTAATAAAAAAGTTACAAATTTACTCTGAGGTCATTTGTATATAAAGGTGCAACATGCAACTCGAACTCGCAATGTCTCGTTACGGTTGGAACTGTTAGGGATGTTGATTTACAGATTTTAAAATACTTCTATTTCTAGAATGGAAAAGATGTTTTTAAATAAAAAAGTAATTATAATAAAACAATTAATATTTAATAATAATTAAACAACAAATATAATTCTATTAAAATAGTAAAAGAAATCACAACAGAGAAAGATCAATAGTTCTGGCCTGTTAGATGGAGAGGCACGCAATGCGCTATCCTAAAGTCTTTGAAGTTTCCCTTACGTGCAAGTAATTACGATCCACCAAAGACTCCAAGATACAACTCCAATGGTTCCCTATGCGCACGATCACAGAGAAGCTTTCACCAAATTTTTATGTTACGTTGCCCCAGAGAAATAGAGAATATATATATATAATAGGAGTAGTATGTATAATTGCAGAGAGATAATATAATTGCAGTAGGTTTTCCGAGAGTAGAAGAGAACTTGATTTTTTTTATAAACCTCTCCGCTAATCAAAACCTAAATATTAATAGAATTTTATCACCTATTTTCATCAATAGACGCGCCGTTTGTTTTAACAGTTATAATATTTATTTTAATTTAATTATTATTATTTACCGTTAATTAGTTAAGGACTTTTGAATTTCTAACCAATAGAAATTCAAGAGTTAGAAGTTTTAAAACTTCTCTAATAACTCTAACAGGACCACCCTATCTATTAGAAGCGAAGACTTGCACATCTCTGGATGGGGCGCTTGGCGTGACACTAGATAAAGTATTAGGTCTGACTCTAATACCAACTATAGCGGTCGACCCAAAAACTTAATTGTTAGGTAGAGTTAACACCCAGCCCATTCATACCCATTTTACTTTTCATCTGGAATTGATGTAGGATATTATTGCCCTTGTAACATTCTTCTCGCCCGAACTCGCAATTCCGACACTTTTGAGTTGGGTGCTTGACGTGACAGTAGATCTCACTCTAATACCAACTCTAACGAGTGGATGTTTTGCAATTCGACCCAAAAACTTAAATGTTAAATGAAATTAACATCTAACCTATTTATATACATTTTACTTCCTATCTTGAATTGATGTGACCTACTTATATACATTTTACTTCCTATCTAGAATTGATGTGAGATAAGACTACATCAAAAACTAATGTGGGACAAGAATCCCCTTACATTAGGCTCAATATAAAAATTGTACTAATCTACGTTTTTAAAAAGTTCAATTTAAATTTAATTTGAATTTGGATTTGGATTTGGACTTTTTAAACTAAACCTGTACCGACTTTAACCATTATTGACAGGCCGTGGATTCATGAAAGCAGGTTTTGGATTCGGATCAATCTGTTCAAAATTTCAAATCGAACCTACCTACCCACCCACACACCCACCCTGTTGGATACTAACTAGATCCGAAATCCCTTTTAAAAATGGGCCGGCCTCCTGCAATTTTTCCACGAGGAAATTAAACGATTAAACCCCAAGAGAGGGAGAGGAGAGAGGAGAGGAGAGGAGAGAGAGAGAGAGAGAGCAAATAAGTCATCTCACTCCATTTCTAGCCGTTCTCCTGTGGAAGGAAGCAAAGGGCAAAGAACTCCGAACCACACAGACTTGCTCAGCTCATCAACGCGTAAGAACACTCGGTCCCTTCGATTGAAGTTCTCTTACTTCTTGCAGCTCCTACTGTTACTCATTGCAAATTTGCTCACTTTCTTCTCCGAACATCATTTTCTGATAAATTATCAAACACTTACTAGTTTCAAATGCAATCTTCTTTCTTACTTTTTACTATTAGTTTCTAATAATTTATTTACTAAGGTAATCCCAATTCTTGAAACTAGGGTTTTTTTTTCCTTTGAAATTTACAATTTTTTAGTATGTGATGGAATTGATCTCCAAGTTGTGCTTTTTATTTTTTTATTTTTAGGAATTTCGATCTTTTGGGTGTCACATGATTTTGGGGTTTTGGTGAATTGAGCTTTGATTACACTCCAGAAATTCGGGTTTTGATGCTTTTTGATATAGACTGTTCCTGGAGCCTACGCATTCAAAGGGTTAGATTTTGCATTTTTTTTTTTTTTTTTTTTTTTTTGTCAGATTTAACCAAGGTCTTCTGAGGCTATGTGAGTTTGGGCTTTTTGGTTGCCTCCTTTGAGGGTTTCATATTATACGATAATTTATTTATTTTGGATATTAGCTATGTCTGCGAATAACAATAACCCTCCCAAGAATATTGGGGTTTCATCTCCTTTTGACAATGCCGGGATGGTCTCTTCTAATTTGCCTGGAAACCCGACTTCTCATCTGCAGTCGCAGTCCCAACCCCAACAACAAATTGGGTCTGGCTTTACGGGTCAGTTTCAGCTGTCCCAATTCTCTGCAGCTCATGCCCAGGCGATTGAACAAGCACAAAAGGCTCAAGCTCATGCCCGAGCTCAAGCTCATGCCCGAGCCCAAGCTCAAGCGGCGCACGCCCAATTCCAAGCTCAGTTACAGGCTCAAGGGCTGTCCCTAAACCAGGCCCACTCCACCGGTATTGGTAATGTGGGTTCTTCATCACCTTCCATTGGAGCATCGGGCAATGCAAGCGCAAAAAGAGCACCACAAAAGCCACCAGCACGGCCACCTGGCTTGTCAGCTACCAACACAATCTCACCATTGAGAACTATGGAGCTTACAGCTGCTGCTCGCAGAAAAAAGCAGAAGCTTCCTGAGAAGCAATTACAGGATAGAGTGGCTGCATATTTGCCTGAATCTGCTCTTTACACTCAGCTCCTTGAATTTGAGTCTCGTGTTGATGCTGCTCTGGCAAGAAAGAAAATTGACATCCAGGAGGCCATAAAAAACCCCCCATCTATCCAGAAAACCCTTAGAATTTATGTATTCAACACTTTTGCTAATCAGATCCGCACAATTCCGAAGAAGCCAAATGCTGAACCACCTACATGGACCCTTAAGATAATTGGGAGGATCTTGGAAGAGGGGATAGATCCTGAACAGTCTGGCATGATCCAGAAATCAAGCCCCTTATACCCAAAGTTCTCATCTTTCTTCAAGAGAGTTACCATTTCCTTGGACCAGAGACTATATCCAGAGAATCATATTATTATATGGGATAGTGCTCGATCACCTGCACCTCATGAGGGCTTTGAGGTAAAAAGAAAAGGGGACAAAGAATTTACTGTGAATATAAGGTTAGAAATGAATTATATGCCCGAGAAATTTAAGCTTTCACCAGCTTTGATGGAGGTTCTTGGTATTGAGGTTGATACCCGCCCAAGAATTATTGCTGCAATCTGGCATTATGTGAAGGCTAGAAAATTGCAGAACCCGAATGACCCGTCTTATTTTAATTGTGATCCGCCACTTCAGAAAGTTTTTGGGGAAGAAAAGATGAAATTCACCATGGTTTCGCAGAAGATATCACATCATTTGTCACCTCCACAGCCGATACATTTGGAGCATAAGATCAAGCTTTCTGGGAATAGTCCTGCCGGAAATGCATGCTATGACATATTGGTGGATGTGGCTTTTCCAATACAAAAAGAATTAAATGCTTTACTGGCCAACACAGAGAAGAACAAAGAAATTGATGCCTGTGATGAAGCAATTTGTACTGCCATAAGGAAAATTCACGAGCATCGTAGGAGGCGAGCATTCTTTCTTGGATTCAGTCAATCACCAGTGGAATTTATTAATGCTTTGATTGAATCTCAAAGTAGGGATCTGAAACTTGTAGCAGGGGAAGCAAGTCGCAGTGCTGAAAAAGAGCATCGGTCAGATTTCTTCAACCAACCATGGTAAGCTCATCAACCAGTTGTTACTCTTTCATCCCCCACCCCCTACCAAAAAAAAAAAGGCCAGTTTTAGAAGTAGAGGATTTATACTCATCATAGTTGTTAAAGGCGCGCCTAGGCTCCAAAAAAGCCCCAGGCTTGTCAAGGCTCAGTTAGGGCGCCTAAACCTACTACAGGCGAGGCCTCTTCAATCAGGCTCACATAAAGCCCTCAGGCTCAAGCTTTTTAGTAAGCTCCAAGCTCAAAAAAGGCGCGCCTTGTATTTTTTAATCATTTATTTGTATCATTTTCTTGTTTACTTAATGACTACTAAATTAAAAGGTTCTATATCAGTTATCGTATTGTTTTAAACTTATGAAATATTTGACAAAATTCATAAATTTATGGTTCACTACTTACATTAACTGCAATTAGTGCTTGATTATGAATATATATAATATTATATGTTTAAATATGCATTATGTTATACTCGCGCCATACTTCGATCAGGCTCTCGCCTTATCCTACGCCTTGCGCTTAGGCTCCGGAAGGCCTTTGGCGCCTTAGTGCGCCTTGAGCCTTTAACAACTATGATACTCATTATTTAAACGATCATATCCACTTGCATAATTTATGAAGTTTTTGTCATTCAACTTGAGATATCCACAAATAACACCACTAAAAATATATTCATTGAGATATATGTTTAATGGTCTGAGTAGAAATGTTTTTGATGGATGCAATTACTCTCACTTTTACCTCCATAACAATATTACTCAGCTGCTATCTTTTTGAGTTGTGACGTGAGGCTCATCATACGGGTAACTCATGCCACATGCCAGTTACTGTTCAAGGTCACTCTTGTTATAAATGGTCCAAGTTCATCAAGTGTTATTGAAGTCTTAGACTGATTTCTCTATTGTATATGTGTGTGTCAGAGTGTGTGTCGTGTTAGATGTCTTTATAGGGGTATTGAGACATTGCCTTCATTATTGAACTTTAATTTGGTGATTTAATAGGGTTGAAGATGCTGTTATTCGCTATCTGAATCGCAAGCCAGTTGCAGATGGTCCTGGAAGCACATAAATAAGGGAATGTGGAGGCTGCTGATGTTTCAATGTTTGATTTCTTTTTCCGACTTCATACTCATCAATCTTTTTAATATCCCTTTTGAATGTATTGTGGATATATTTGATTGTTCCATTGTTAGATGGGGAGGAGAGTCACATTATGCACACTGATAATACATATTGGACAAACTTAGTATCATAGCTTAGTCAACTTATCAATGATTAGAATCTGTGGTATACTGGAGTTCCTCTTCATGGATAGTTTCATAACTTTATATCATATTATTAATTTGTTATAATAATATGATTTAGTTCTGGTTCTCTTAGTCAACCTAACTTAACGTTTTATTTTTTTCTGCCTCTCCATATCTACTGTTTTCTTTTTTAGAATAATATATATTATATATAGAAAGAAAGAAAGTGAGTTCCGCTTTCTTTATATAATATATATAAATATATAAAGAAAGCAGAACTCACTTCTTTTATATAATGAAGTGATTGGTCATATAATTGTGGTTACATAAATGCTTTTTATGCAGCATTTTTAACTGGAGGTATAAGAGGATTGGCTGAATTAATTTATTTTTTTGATAGACGGATAATTGATGGAATTACGAATGGGGTTGGTATTATGAGTTTCTTTGCAGGAGAAGCATCAAATATATAGGAGGGGTGGCACATTTCTTCTTATCTCTTCTTGTATTCATCTTATGTATCAATCTTTTTATTAATTTACTATTTTTTAAATCTATAACTATAAGAAAAATAATTTTCTTTATTTTCAAATATTTTTAACTTCAAATTTTATAAAGAAGTAAGCTCCTTTATGCTGTTTTATTGTTTTATTGTTTCTTTATGGAAGAGGTTTTTCCAGAGGAAGGCTTTTTACTTATTTTGTTTGGTTGAGCAAGAAGGAACAAAAGGGATATTACTTGATTTATCATTATATTGCTTTGTTTTAGTGACAAAAATGTAAAAAGGCATGGTGAAGTCCTTCCTTGTGAAAGAACTCCATGAACCCAGAGGGGAAATCCCCTTTCATTTGTCTCTTCTCTTTTCCTTTACTCTTACCAAAGTAAGCAAACTTCATCCTTCCCAACCTTTGACTTCCCTTCTTTCCCGTTTCCCATTCTTCTCTCCTACCAGATGGACCATGAAGAAGCTGAATGGTATTAGCGATGGAGATTTTGTCCTAATGCTGAACTTTGTTGGTTGCAGTGTATTATTATCATTGTTGGTTGCAGAACCATGAAGGAACAATGTTAACTTTCTCGTTGTGGGATTTTGGTGTTTTTAAAATACTGGTTATCTGAAGAAACAGTCATATTTTGCTTGCAACTGATTTGTTTTGTTGATGACAGCAATTTTATGCTGCTTCAAATTGTTGGAGCGTGATGATTTCATTTTGGTTTATTTAATTTTTGCATACCAGTTCCTATGCGAGTTAGTTTGAACCAAGTTATATATGCATTGTGGCCATTTTGCCATTTGTTATATACGACTCTCGCATATTTTAAGTCTAGTCCTGTTAGCTTGACTGTGCGTGTACTTTTGAGGTAAACTTTTCCCTCATGTTTTAAGTCTAGTCCTGTTAGCTTTACTGTGCGTATATTTTTGAGGTAAACTTTTCTCTGTTGTGCCAACCAGTGAGTACAATGACGCACTGGCTTGCATTAGAGATAAGTTAGTTATGTATATGAACTGAGATTAGCCTGTTCCACTGCATGTGTGGTGATCACTCTAGCTCTGGATGAACACCTCAAAGTGCTAGTACTTTTTGTTATTGCAATTGCTTCAGTTTCAATTTTAGGTGATAGATTTGTGCCTTCAAAATGAAAACCTGAATGGTTAAAATAGTAGCATGTCTTGTTTGTATTTAGTCTTGGATGGAATCTTTTCCTGAATGTACTTGTTTGTTATCTCTGTTGCACTTCTACTATTGCTCTCTTTTGATCTTTTCTTCATGGGATTGTGTTTTCAAAAAACCCAACTCGTAGATAACACCTCTTGAATCTACAAGCATTTCTGCACGTATGTGCTGACAACAAGAATACCCAGTGGGCTAGTTTGGTGCATCACGTGTCTTTCCCTCATTATCCTGGTTGAGGCGTGCTTACATAATGCCTAGAATGTACTGTGCCCTTAACCAAAGAACTCAAAATTATTTCCTTGCTTCATCTTGACTTGTCCGTAACTAAAGCCGCCATGTCTTTACAGAACCAGGAAACTATGCGGTACGCAGCACTGTGGTGTACCATAGAGGATCCACTCACTTGTTGACAACCCAAGTTTTCATTATCCATTGCGCTCTCAACACTTTAATGTACTTTAATGTCCTGACTAGTGACTTATGCAAGTAGATAGGCTATGTACGTGATATGGTAAACGTCTGACATCAGTACAACTGCGCCCTAAAAATCATTAAAAAAAAAACTTCTTGAATAATCAAGATTGTAGAAACATTATTATATTGTTGCATTACTTATTACAAGCTAGCTTACAGAAAAGTAGGATATGATCTATGTTATTAGAGAACATTCATCTTTCTTCAGGTTTTCTTCAACAGCTTTCTTAAGCTCCAAAAACTTTCCTATGCAAAAAATGCAATATCTGATGAGAACTTTGCGAGAGTTTATCTTTCATTTCGAGAAGGAAATTGAACTAGGCATCTCTCCAGTGTTTCTTAATTATTAAAGTGCCAAAACCCCCCCCAGAATGCAATGGAGAATCCCAATCCTACGCTAAGGTACAACCATTGCTTTTCGAATTTGTCTCCATCATCTGTGTCTTCCTCTCCAGGGAAATGAGGCGTCTTATTGTTGTCAGTGCAGTTAGTTGCTAATGGAAGCCCACAAAGGCCAAGGTTACCCTCATAAATTGACGGATCATTGAAGGTTTGGAACTGATTGCTTGTGGGAATTTTACCTGACAAATTGTTATATGACAGGCTCAAGTGATTCAAAAAAGTCAGAGAAGCCATGTTTGGTGGAATAGGTCCTGAAAGTTTGTTCCTTGAGAGGTCAAGGGTTTCTAAGCATTCCAAGTTTCTCTGGTATTTTTCCTGTCAACTGATTCATAGATAAGTTCAACGTGCCCAATTTGAAAAGGCCTGTTAATTCTTTAGGAATCTCCCCTGATAAATCATTGTGTGAGAGGTCTACACTATTAACGAGGTAAAGCGTAGAATAATATTCAAACATTCTTCCTTTCGCAACCACCTTCAAGTGTCCATATCAGTCCTGACAGGTTATTGTGGGAAAGATCTAATAGTTAGGCTACAAATTTGTGGAGGAATGCTTCCAGTAAAGGAATTATTCCTCAGAGAGAGAATTAGTGAAGATTGCATGCTTTCTCCTATCCAAGCTGGAAGGTTTCCAGACAATCTGTTGTCACCAAGATCAAGGCTTTCTATGATAGTGCAATTTCGCAAGGTGGAAGGGAGTTCGTACCAGATAGATTGTTGTTTGACATATTTACAATGTACAATACTGAAAAATTATTCCAAAACTCAGGAATTTTTCCAGATAAACGATTATTTGAGATGACTAGGGTTGTCAAAGCGTTGAGATTACCTATGGACAGGGGAATACTTCCACTCAGAGAGTTCCAAGAGATATCTAAGTCTGTCAAATAAGGCATTCCTCCAATCTTCTGAGGAATTGGTCCAGAGAAGAGGTTATCATTCAGATATAATGAACTTACATTAGAAGACCAGAGTGGGAGAGGTCCCTCAAAGCAGTTCCAACTCAGATTGACATTTGATGGGCAGTGGAACTGTAATGAGTTTGGGATCTCGCCACTTAACTGATTAGAACCGACATATAGTTCATCGAGCAGCAAATCCAACTTCCAAAACCAATCGGGAAAGGGGTGTGAAATTCTGGCATTGTTAAGTACCAGAGTTTTCAGCTCATTTTGATTTCTAAGCCAAGCTAGAAATCTGGGGCCCAATTGGCATGAACGGATGTAGATGTATGTTAGTTTAAAAGGAGGAAGCCAATCTGAACTGATGTTAAAGAGCATGGAAATATTTGTGGATTGTTTAGTGATTGATACCTCCTTTAAACTTGAGAGGTTGTCTAGATGAGCTTCTGTTATGATAGCACCTTCCCATGAATTCTCAGAAAAGTCCAAAGCAACCAGCGATGCAAGTTGCCCGAGACTTTGGGTGATGAAACCGCTCATTTGATTGTCCGATAGGTACAATTCCTCCAAGGATGTTAAGTTTCCTATGGATTTTGGAATCGAAATCTTAACTTGCTTAGATGGCCTAATGAATCGGACAAATGGCCGGTCAACTTCTTGTATCCCAAATCCAATGTTTCTAAACTTCTTTTGGTGCATTGAGATAAACAATCGGTGAATTTAGCGATCTCATTAGTGATATTATTGACAGAAAGCTTCAATGTCTTCAAATTGCAGGGATTTCCCATGCTTTTTGACAACTTACCTCCGATGTAAGATTTTTGGGACAAATCAAGGCTTTGGAGGAAAGTTAACTTGGCAAATTCATCTGGAAGCTCACCATAAAGGTTGTTGGACTGGAGATCAAGACTTGAAAGGCTACTAAGATTGAATGTCCAGTGGGGTATTGTGGAGTTGAATTCATTGTTGGAGAGGTCGAGCTCCAAAAGGGATGTGAGAGGAACAAAGGGTAGGGAGAATGGAAGTTGGGAAAGCCGACATTGGGGCAGGTGCAACTCGGAAAGAGAAGGAAGCATATTGACAGTTTGAAGCCAATAAGATGCTTGCTTTGTGAAGGTACACACCTCCCATGTTAAGGTACTCCAAAGATGAAAGACTTTGTAGCCAATGAAGGTTGTTCTCAATTGATTCAACAAAATCTGAATTGAGATCCAGATGGCACAAGTTTGAAAGGTTGCCAAGACTGGAGGGATTGTCCCGCCAAAGGATGCACTGGAAAGATTGGGATATCTCAACTCAGCAAGTGATCCAATGAAGTCAGGAATTTGGATTCCTCCAAAGTTGTTCTTGCTCAAGTCTAGGTAATTCAAATATTTCAAATCAAGCAAAGAAGGATTGATCTCACTGCCCAGTTGGTAAACAGCTGTTCCATCACCGTCAAAACTATTTGGAAATGGGTTGTCGAGTTTGAGCTTCACGACATGTCCAGTGCTGTTGTTGCAGCTCACTCCTCTCCATTGGCAACAATCTTCTCCAGCCCAAGAAGAGAGTCGCCGTGAATGATCCGTGAGACCTTCTTTGAACTTGAGAAGTGCTTTCCTCTCAATTTCTATGCAACCTACTCTGGTACTGCCAGAGCAGTAGCCTAGTTTAATGGTGTCAAGGTATGAAAAGCCTGACCGAAGGATTAGAAAGAGAAGTTGAAGAAGGAAGCCACTCTTTATAACCATGCCTGGAAATGCAAGAGTACGCGTGGAATGCAACTACGCAACATTCTCACGGCAAAAAGATGATAACTAATTGTTGTTATTCAACAACTAATCAATTTGGACTAGAGGATCTATTTTGAAGATTTCATTCAAGTCGTATGTTCTGCTCTTATATTCCATCTTTCTTGTGCTTTGTCATATTCCACAAACTGATTGATATTGATCATAATCAACATATGTAACTATTGTGAAGGCGGTCTAAAATTTCTGAGTGGAATCTGCTAATGTGCAAGTTGATCTACATGCCTTGCAGAAAAAAGATGCAATGAGTCCTTCGTAGATCAAATTAGCAAGCATTATGTTGATGAGTCCTCCATCCAAGTCAAGTTGAGATTTGTCAATTTGGCCATTATTTAGCTATTTCATGGAGCGACGTAATTTCAATGTGGACATTTGGTACATGCATGTATCTACAAAGGGTTTGAATCATGTAGATTGAATCATCTCAAAGACGAACCAAACAAAAGGCATCTATCTATCTCGATGATCATCTCTCCGTCAAATTTTTAATGCGCCCCCATCATTCTTTCTGCCGAAGTTGACTCGTCGCACTTTTTTCCAACTGGTCCAAATGTGGTGAAACCAAAATAGAAATTATTTTTCTAGTCCAATTTTGTTTCATTTTTGATCAAATTTTTGTGAGACAATTATGCACAAATTTAACTTGTTTTTCAAGTATGATTAGGTTTTTAAAAATCTATATAAACATCTTTTCTCACTTAGGTTTTCCTACGACTTTTTGGAACTAAATTTATATACTTATTCACAACCCATCTAGGTTATTTTTAACAGAAACTTCCACATCCATTCTGCAATGTGCAATTCATATTTGCTTCATTTGCCATAGGGTAGCAATTCATATTTGCTTCATTTGCCATAGAGTAGATAGGCGAAGTACGTACATACATCATTGTTATATGCCATGAAATCAATACAACTGCGCACTAACAAACATGAAATCTTCTTGAATAATCAAGATTGTAACAATACTATTATATTGTTGCATTATTTGATTACAGGATAGCTTACAAAAAGTAGGATATGATCTATTTTATTAGAGAACACTCATCTTTCTTCAGCCCTTCTAGGACAACTTTTTTAAGCTCCAAAAACATTCCTATGCAGAAAATGCAATATCTGATGAGACCTTTGCGAGAGTTTATCTTTCATTCCGAGAAGGAAATTGAAATAGGCATCTCTCCAAGTTTTCTTGATTATTAAAGTGCCAAAAACTCCCCAGAATCCCGTGAAGAATCCCAATACTACACTAAGGTACAACCACAGCTTTTCAAATTTGTCTCCATCATCTGTGTCTCTATCTTCATCTTCAGGAAAATGAGGCGTCTCAATGTTGTCAGTGCAGTTAGTTGGTAATGGAAGCCCACAAAGACCAAGGTTACCCTCATAAATTGATGGATCAATGAAGGTTAGGAACTGATTGCTTGTGGGAATTTTACCTGACAAATTGTTATATGACAGGTTCAAGTGATTCAAAAAGGTCAGAGAAGCCATGGTTGGTGGAATAGGTCCTGAAAGTAAGTTCTTTGAGAGGTCAAGGGTTTCTAACCTTTCAAAGTTTCCAATTCTCTGCGGTATTTTTCCTGTCAAGTGATTCATAGATAAGTTCAACGTGCCCAATTTGAAAAGGCCTGTTAATTCCTTAGGAATCTCCCCTGATAAATCATTGTCCGAGAGGTCTACACTATTAACGAGGTAAAGTGTAGAATAATATTCGAACATTCTTCCTTTCGCAACCACCTTCAAGCGCCCTTCATATCTTGCGGCATCTTCTGATGTGAACTCAGTTTTAAAGCCAGTCAGATTTCCAAAACAGGAAGGTATCAGTCCTGACAGCTTATTGTGGGAAAGATCTAATATGTGAAGGTTAGATAGGCTACAAATTTGTGGAGGAATGCTTCCAGTAAAGGAATTATTCCTCACAGAGAGAATTAATAAAGATTGCATGTTTTTTCCTCCTATCCAAGCTGGAAGGTTTCCAGAAAATCTATTGTCACCAAGATCAAGGCTCTCTACGATAGTGCAATTTTGCAAGGTGGAAGGGGGTTCGCCTGAAAGATGGTTTCCACTGAGTGCTAAGAACTTGAGGTAGCTTAGAGAACCTAATGATTTCGGAATCGTACCAGATAGATTGTTGTTTGACATATCTACAATGGACAATTGTGAAAAATTATTCCAAAACTCAGGAATTTTTCCAGATAGACGATTATTTGAGATGACTAGGGTTATCAAAGAGTTCAAATTACCTACGGACAGGGGAATGCTTCCACTCAGAGTGTTCCAAGAGATATCTAAGTCTGTCAAATTAGGATTTCCTCCGATCTTCTGAGGAATTGGTCCAGAGAAGAGGTTATCCCTCAGATACAGTTTAGTTACATTAGAAGACCAGAGCGGGAGAGGCCCCTCAAATTTGTTTGTACTCAGATCGACAGTGGATGGATCGCTGAATTGTAATGAGTTTGGGACCTTGCCGCTTAAGTTATTATAAGCGACATCAAGTTCATCAAGTTGCAAATCCAACTTCCAAAACCAATCAGGGAAGGTGTCAGAAATTCTGGCATTGTTAAGTACCAGTGTTCTCAACTCATTTTGATTTCTAAGCCATGCTGGAAATTTGGGGCCCAATTGACATGATCGGATGTATAAGAATGTTAGCTTAAAAGGAGGAATCCAATCTGAACTGATGTTGAAAATCATGGAAATATTTGGAGAGAGTTTATTGATTGATACCTCTTTCAAACTTGAGAGATTGGCTAGATGAGCTTCTGTTATGACAGTGCCGTCCCACAGATTCTCAGAGAGTTCCAACACAGCCAAAGATGTGAGTTGCCCGAGACTTTTGGGGATTTTCCCGCTCATTTGGTTGTCCGATAGGTACAATCCCTCCAACGATGTTAAGTTTCCAATGGAGTTCGGAATTGAACCTCTGAATGAGTTCTTTGTGAGTTGAAGAGACCGTAAGTTGCTTAGACGGCCTAAGGAATCAGGCAGATCGCCAGTCAACTTATTGTATTGCAAATCTAGTGTTTCTAAGCTGCTTTTGGTGCATCGAGATGAACCATTGATGAATTCTGCTATCTCACCAGTGATTTCATTGACAGAAAGTCTCAATGTCTTCAAATTGCAGAGATATCCCAAGCGTTTTGATAGCTTACCTCCGATGTTAGAATTTTGGGACAAATCAAGGCTTTGGAGGAAAGTTAACTTGGCAAATTCATCTGGAAGCTCACCGTAAAGATTGTTGGACTGGAGATCAAGACTTGTAAGGCTAGTAAGATTGAACAGCCAGTGGGGTATTGTGGAATTGAAACCATTGTTGGAGAGGTCAAGCACCAAAAGGGATGTGAGGTTAACAAAGGAGGGCAGGGAGAGTGGAAGTTGGGAAAGCTGACACTGGGGCAGGTGCAACTCTGAAAGTGAAGGAAGCATATTGACATTTTGAAGCCAATAAGACGCCGCTTTGTGAAGGTCCACACCTCCCAAGTGAAGGTACTCCAAAGATGAAAGACTCTGGAGCCAATGAAGGTGGTTCTCAATTGATTCAACAAAATTTGAATTGAGATCAAGATAACGCAAGCTTGAAAGGTTGCCAAGACTTGGAGGGATTGTCCCGTCAAAGGATGCACTGCAAAGATTGAGATATCTCAACTCACCGAGTGATCCAATGAAGTCAGGAATTTGGATTCCTCCAAAGTTGTTATTGCTCAAGTCTAGGTAATTCAAATATTTCAAATCAAGCAAAGAAGGATTGATCTCACCGCCCAGTGGGGTATCAAAACTATCTGGAAATGGGTTGCCGAGTTTGAGCTGCACGACGTGTCCGGTGCTGTTGCTGCAGCTCACTCCTCCCCATTGGCAACAATCTTCTCCAACCCAAGAAGAGAGTCGCGCTGATGGATCCGTAAGACCACCTTTGAACTTGACAAGTGCTTTCCTTTCAATTGCTATGCAACCTACTCTGGTGGAACTGCCAGTGTCAGAGCAGTAGCCCAGCTTAATGGTGTCGAGGTATGAAAAGCCTGACAGAAGAAGGATGAGAAAGACAAGTTGAAGAAGGAAGGCATTCTTCGTACCCATGCCTGTAAATGCAAGAGTACTTGTGGATTGCAGCTGTGCAATACTCTCACTGAAAAAAAAAAAAAAAAAGGTGATAATTAATTGTTGTTATTCAACAACTAATCAATTTGGACACGAGGATGTATTTTGAAGATTTCATTCAAATCATATGCATGCTCTTATAGCCATTGGACCACCCATTATTTACCTGGTTGATGACTTTATGCAGTGGTCATTAGGTGGACACGGCACTATGAAAAAAAATCAATGAATGTGAGGTAATGGTAGTTAGTCATATGAGTGTGAACATTTAATTTGTTGTTGATAGCATGTGACGAGTATTAAAGAATTTCTTCATGTGAATACAGTCAATGTGAAACCTAGGACTTTTATAAGCATTTATAGATTTACCATATTTCCAAGAACCAGAAGAAAATAAAAGAATTTTGAGTTACTCTCATGACTTGGAGACCCCAGTAGGAAATTGCTGGGTTTTTTTTGTTATATTCCCCAAACTGAGGTTGACAGGCTCATGTGGTCCTTGGTGAACTTGTGGAATGTAAAACTTGACCATGTTTGGCATGCACTTTTAAGCGTTTTATTTTTGGCTAAAACAAAAACAGTATTTTTGTTGTAGGAGCGTTTTGGAAAAAAAATTGGAAGCACGTTTGGAAACGATGTTTTGTTGTGAAAATGTCGGATACAGAAACATGCAAAATATGGTTTTGGACCATGAACAGTTGTCAAAACAAGAAAAAAAATAATTTTTTGGTGTTTTGGTTTTGGATCACTGTTCACGAAGTGTTTTAATATTGTATAATAGAAAACAAGGCTGCACTAAATATGTTTTTGTTGTCAAAATTGATACTGTAACAGTTCAAAAACAA